AGTGAGGAAAGGCATTTAGAAGATTAAGGACAGAAAAAAGAAAGTCCTTCACATGGCACATAGTTAAACTATGGAACTCCCTCCCACAGGAGGAGGTGATCCCCACCAACCCGGATGCCTTTAAAAGAGGATTGGACACATACATCAAGGACAAGGCTGTCAATGGCTACTAGCCACAATGGCTATGTTCTGCCTTCACAGTTGGAGACAGCGGGGCTTTTTTCCAGCTGGAACTCACAATAACTCATTTCCAGGTCCTCTCAGGTGGGTGCCATTGCCATTATAAGAGAACAAGGGAGGCATTCATGGGGAGTTCTGGCACCTCTTTTTCTAGAAAAATAGCACTGGGAGGCAGTAATGCTTTTGACTGCCAGTTGCTGGAAACCACAGGAGGGAAGACCTGCTTGTGGGTTTCTCAGAGGCAACGGTTCAGTCACCGTGAGAACAGGATGCTGGGCTTGATGGACCGTTGGCCTGATCCAGCAGGGCTCTTCTTATGCTCTCCCTCCACTCTCAAAGGCAGCATGCCTCTGGATAATACTAGTTGCTATGAATCAGAGGTGGGGAGAATTGCTGTTGCACTCAAGTCCTGCTTGCAGGTTTCCCACTGGTGCAGCTGGCTGAGAAAAGAATGCTGGACTTATGTTCTTAGAGCAATGGTCCTGCTTGCTGGTTTCCCTTTAGGGATCTGGCTGGCCACTGTGAGAACAGGATGCTGGACTAGATTGGCCTGATCAAGCAGCAGGCTTTTGTTATGTTCTTACTCTCTAAAACCTTTATGGGCATCTATCAAGTGTCTAAATAGGGCCATCGGTCCAGCCATGAGAATATCACGCCCTCAGCCTTAGAAAGCAAGAGACACCAGATGTTTTCCTCAGCAGTTTCTGGGTTTGCGACGTCTGTGTCGCTTCCCTTCTGTTCTTTGGGCACCACTCCATCTTTGTTCAGGGATGGTGTGGGCTCCCCTTTGTCGTCTCCATGCATTTGAGAAGCACTGCAATTATATTCATTTAAAAATGAAACAAAAAATGTGACCCCCAAGGTGCTTGGTCAAATGCCACCTGGTATGACAACATCTGGGCAGCTGTGCTATGAAACTGCCAGCTCTGTGCTCCTTGTCCAAGAAAACCCGAAAAGCATTTTTACAAACTGATTTTTACACACTTCTGCCAACCATGACCTCAACTCGACTTCCTAGACTGCTGGTGAGTTGAGGCTACGCGGATTTTATCTGGATTTTTTTTTTATCTCAATACTACACAATGCAATGCTTCTGGCTCCAAGGAGGAATCCCAGATTCTGAATAGAATTAGGGGTTGCATCCAATGCTGTAGCTGACTTATCGAAACAAAGCAGATGGCTAATTTAAGTCCATTCATTTCAGTGGGTGTACTCTGAGTAGAACCTAATTGGAGACAACACTATGATACTTATAGCACAAATTCACCACTGAGCTAGGGCCTTTCCCTCCAAAAATGAAGATTCCAGACCTCATGGTTTTTCATTAAAGGCTGGTGTAGAAAGCTGCCAGATACCATGACAGAGGATTGTCCTATCTAGCTTAGTGGGTTGCAGCCATTAGTCGAAACTGATAGACAGGATGAAGTTAGCTGCATTGGTTTCTTTGAGTCTACTCTGAGTAGGCAAAGGTATGTCTAAGGCACCTCTGAGCTACACCCAGCACACACTGCTCCAGGCTAGTCTGAAAAAATGGGGGATGGTGGGGAAGGACGGATCCTGATGGCTCAAGAGGGACAAGTCCCTGGATGACCTCATCACTGCAACATCTGGAAGTGTTTAGCAAAACTGGAGCTGTGATTACATAGGCTGCCCCTGAAGTCACACACACGCGCACACACACGCACAAACAAAAGAATCCCAGGGTTTTCAATGCCTTTTCTCTCATTTATTTGTGATTGCAAGCTCAGGGTTTGTGAGTGAGAGAGCAGGAACTTTTGCAAACAATTCAAGGGTGCGATTCCAGACTTTGCAAGGACGAACAGGGTCATCCTTGTGGTCATGCATCGGGTTCATGTTCACCTGCCCCCCCGAACTTCCCTGAAAGCAATGTCCAAAGGTGAAGAACATAAGACACCAGCCCTTCTGGATCAGGCCAATGGCCTATCTAGTCCATCCTCCTCTTCTCACAGTGGCCAACCAGGTGCCCCAGTGGGAAGCCCCCAAGCAGGACCTGAGGACAACTGCAAAGCTCTCATCTCCTGTAGTTTCTGGAACTGGCATTCAGAGGCATATGGAGATACTGTACAACATAACCATTGTGCCTTGTAGCATTCTGGGAACTGTAGGTTGTTCAGGGTGCTGAGAGTCGTTAGGCGATCTCTATTCCGTTCATAGAGCTGCAATTCCCTAAATTCCTTCTGAAGAGGGATTAATTAGAATCATATGATTGTAGAGCCAGGGGGACCCCAAGGGTCATCTAGCCCAACCCCCCTGAGAACTCTGTTGGTGGAACAGGGGCTTCCTAACAACTCTCAGGAGCCTCAACAAGCTCCTGTTTAAAATGGTGTCATAGTGCTTTAAATATATGGTGCCGATGTGGCCTCAGAATTAGGAGGAGGAGGTGCCATTAATAAGGGGATGGATACCCAGGGCAATCCTCAGAGCAAGGGAAACACAGAGTGTTGGGAAAGACGGCAAAGATTCCCCTGGCAGGAAAGGCGAACCCTGGACAAAATTGGAGTGCTTTAATGGTGGGACAGGACAGCACTATCTGACGCGGATTTTCCATCCTCTCTGCTGCGCCCCCAACCTGATCCCAATTAGATAAACGCCTGCCAGCAGTCACTTATGACTCATTCGCAAAAAAGAGGGGGGGGGGATGTAAGTACAGAGGCTGGAGAAAGCTGCACATTTTCAGGACAGAAAGAGCCCACAGCTGTTGTTTCAAGAAGGCCGGGGTGCCTTTGCTGAGGTCACTTTGCAACCAGCAGTAGCTCCTGAATTTAATACATTCTGGAAAGGGTAAAAAAAAATTCTCATTTTTTATATATTTTTGCTTCTTGGTGGGATCCTTGGAATATTCTGCATATTATTTTTTTTATAAAAAAAAGAGGGGGAAAAAAACACACATCTAAATTGGCAGCAAAGTTTCCGTATGAAACAGTTTTTCCAGCATCCCAGTAGCGAAAATGTGTGGTTAGGGATAACTAGCTTAGGCTTTTAAAAAACGTGTCATGTGTTTTCTCCAGATCAGCAGAATCCTTGGCCGCATTTTACCACTTACGGGACTGAAATGAAAAGAACCAGGAAGCAGACTTGGTGTGTGTGTGTGTGTGTGTGTGTGTGTGTGTGTGTGTGTGTGTACATATGTCTGCCTCCATCTTCTGGGCTAGAATTTTGAGCCCAGGTTAGTATACCCCTCCCCTTAAATGTTATGGGGAAGGGGCATAGCTCAGAGTCAGAGCACATGTATTTGGTTTATAGATTTGGAAGGGACTACCAACCCTCTGCAGTGTAGGAATCTCTCTCTCTCTCTCTCTCTCTCTCTCACACACACACACACACACACACGGTGCTGGTTGGCCACTGTGAGAACAGGATGCTGGACCACATGGGCCATTGGCCTGATCCAGCAGGGCTCTTCTTAATGTTCTCTCCTCTCAGCCCCAACCAGCATGGCCGATATTCGAGGCTGATGGGAGTTGTAGCTGAGCAACATCTAGAAGGCATCACAGGTTCCCCAACTGTGCCCTACATGTGAGCCTCAAAAAGCAGCAGCAGCAGCAGAGTCCTTCACACTCCCAGGAGGAGCAAGAGGTTGTCCTGACGCCTCTTCCTGTCTCCTCCCCTCCACCCTTGGACAGGCTGCCACAGCCAAGCCATAGAAGGAGAAGGAGATAGAGGGGAAAGTTGAGCAGTGCTCATCGACTCTTCTGGAGAGCTTCCCAAGAAACCGGGAGGCTCCAAAGCCAGACTGACCTTTCGCTAGTGTGGCCTGTTAATCTCGATCTTCTCCCACACATTCTTTTCTTCCCCTTTTCCATGATGGGTGAGGTGTCTGCACAGAGACGTTTGACTTTTGTCCGACTGGGATGTAGCTTCCTCTGTTGCACCGCCCACTTTTGTCTCTGGCCCCACCTATGCGGCCCCTGAAAGGTTCAAGACAGATGTTCTATCACTGAGCTATGGTCCTTCCTCATACAAAATGATGTACCACTGGTTCCTCTAGCTTAGTGTTGTCTACCCTTACTGGTTGCAGTGGCTCTCCAGGATTTCATGCCCTGCACTATTTCTCCGATGAAAATAGGGATGTGCTGTTCCATTACCAGGATGTGGGTGGTGCTGTGGGTTAACCCACAGAGCCTAGGACTTGCTGATCAGAAGGTCGGCGGTTCGAATCCCTGCGACGGGGTGAGCTCCCGTTGCTCGGTCCCTGCTCCTGCCAACCTAGCAGTTTGAAAGCACCTCAAAGTGCAAGTAGATAAATAGGTACCGCTCCGGCGGGAAGGTAAACGGCGTTTCCGTGTGCTGCTTTGATTCGCCAGAAGCGGCTTAGTCATGCAGGCCACATGACCCGGAAGCTGTACTCCAGCTCCCTTGGCCAATAAAGCGAGATGAGCGCCGCAACCCCAGAGTCGTCCACGACTGGACCTAATGGTCAGGGGTCCCTTTACCTTTATTACATTATCATCATCATCATCAATAATCATCATAATTTTTATTCTTTATGCTGTGCTCGCCTGAGTGGGTTGCCCCAGGCACTCTGGGCAGCTTCTAACATATATAAAAACACAATAAAACATTAAACATTTTAAAAACTTCCTATACAGGGCTGCTTTCAAATGTGTTCTAAAGGTTGTATGGTTCCTTATCACCTTGTCTCGTAGGTCACATAACTCCAAACCCTTCAATATTTCTCCAATGAAAACAGGGAAAGTGGGACATTCCAGATCAAATCAGAAACCAGCACGACTGTTCCTGGAAAATAGAAACACTTGTAGGGTCTGGGATTTCAGGCAGAAGTCTCTCTCAGCCCTTTCTGGAGAAGCCAGCGGGGATTGAACCTGTGGCCTTCTGCTTACAAGGCAGATGCTCTTCCACTGAGATACGGCTCGTCTGGGACAGAATGATCCTTTATTTCCAGAAGGCATGAAAGTTTCCCAGCAGGGAAATTTAAGAGGTGGCGGTCTTTTATAATGGAAGCAGCACAGTTTGGCACGGGTCGGTATTTCTCTTCTCGTAGCCTCCAGTGCCAACAATCCCATTGTAGTGGAAGGAATCTCCACCTCCTCACATGCAGGAGCTGCTGAAATCGCTTCCTGCCTCATTCACTCTTCACATCAGCCTATAACTCTCTGAGGTTCATTTCCAGACAGGGTAGTCATCCTGTCCCAGAGAGCATGACGAGACCCGGGTCTTTACGGCAGAGATTGCTCAGGAAGCCTAAGGAGAGGAACACGGCCCCAAATATTCAAACCTTAAATCATAGCCCACAAACATAGCTTCGTTTTTTTATGGCAGAAGCCATTCCTTTAGTTACTCTTTCCCACCCACCCCCATTTACTGAAATACGTTCAGCATTCTTTTTCTTACACCAAAGTGGTTTTCTCAATTTCTGACTCAATCTTAGTCCTGTTCTGTGATTACTTATTTTATTTTTAGAATCACGTAATTGTAGTGTTGGAAAGGACCCCCAAAGGTCATCTACCTAACTCCTTCTTGAAAACCTCCAATGAAAGGGAGTCCACCACCTTCCTTTAAAGCACAAGAAGGACTGATTTTCTTTAAAATTCAGCAGAATCAAATCCACTACTAGCTCACTGCTAAACCAAGGCCAGGAGCATGGGTGTAGTCAGGATTTTTTGTGGGGAGGACAGGACTTGGTGGGGGGGGGGCAGGACATTTGTGGGGGGGCAGAACCTATGTGATTGGTCAGTTAGTTAAGTATTTCTATTGTTTTACTTGATCTAAAGGGGGGCAGCGTCCCCCCGTCCCCCTTGACTATGCCCATGGTCAGGAGGCGCTTTTCACCCCAATCAGTGGCGGAGCTTCATGCTCCAGCATGGGGGGGGGGCGGAGAGCAGGCGGGAGCGGGGCTGGCGCATGTCCTGGGGCGCGGGTGGGAGGGCAGCCGCAATGGCACCCTACCAGGATCACACTGCCAGGGGCGGTATGTTCCCCCCGCACTCCTCTTCCTCTACCAGTGACCCCAATGGCTTTTTTCCCTTCTGGGCAACCTTCCAGGGGTCGTAATCCAGCTAGAGGCAAAAGTGGCTGGAGCAGGATTTGTTTGTTTTACTTTTGTACCATAGAATCATAGAATTGTAGAGCTGGAAGGAACCCCTAGGGGTCATCAAGTCCAACCCTCAGCAATGCAGCAGTCACAGCTAAAGCATCCCTGGCAGATGGCCACCCAACCTCTGTTGAAAAACCCCCAAGGAAGGAGAGTCCACCACCTTCCCAGGTAGCCCATTCCACTGTCGATCAGCTCTTACACTCAGAAAGTTATTTCTAATGAATAATAATAATAATAATATCATTGGGGATGAAATGAAGGTCTCTGGTTGCCCTGCACTGCAGGGTGTTGGACTAGATGGCCCTTGGGATCCCTTCCAACTCCACAATTCCATGATTCTATGATACTTCCTACTTCTAATAAGAAACACATGAGGCCTCTGGGAACAGCATGTACCTGCAGGATGAGGCAGGAACGAGTGTCTTGCATATATTCAGTCTGGGAAGAGAAGCGACAAGGCTGCCCAATTTCCCCATTGCTGTTTATATCGGTCCTGGAGGTTTTGCTGAATATGATTAGAAGGGACCAGTTGGTTAAAGGTATACAAGTCGGAGCCAAACAGTACAAATTGAGAGCATTTGCAGATGACTTAGTACTGACGTTACAGGAGCCAGAATCTAGTATCAAAAGGGTTTTAGAACTGATTCAAGAATTTGGTCAGGTTGCTGGATTTAAACTGAATAAGTTAAAAACCAAGGTTTTAGAGAAAAACTTAACACCGATTGAGAGAGAGAGGTTTCAGAATGAAACAGGTTTAACAGTGGTTAAGAAAGTGAAATACCTGGGGATTAATATGACAGCAAAAAATGGGAACCTATTTAAAGACAACTATGAAAAATGCTGGGCTGAAGTGAAAAAAGACTTAGAAATTTGGTCAAATTTGAAGCTTTCACTGCTGGGTCGTATTGCTGCGATAAAAATGAATGTATTGCCTAGAATGTTGTTTTTGTTTCAAACATTGCAAATTGTGGACAAAATGGATTGCTTCAAGAAGTGGCAGAGAGACATCTCTAGATTTGTCTGGCAGGGCAAGAAGCCCAGAATAAAATTTAAGATATTAACTGATGCAAAGGAAAGGGGTGGATTTGCCCTGCCAGACTTCAAACTTTACTATGAATCAGCAGCTTTTTGCTGGTTGAAAGAATGGCTGCTTCTTGAAAACACTGACATTTTGGACCTAGAAGGTTTTAACAATGTATTTGGATGGCATGCATATCTGTGGTATGATAAGGTCAAAGCACATAAAGCATTTAAAATCAATATTGTCAGGAAAGCATTGTTTAATGTTTGGATAAGATATAAGGACTTATTGGAAAATAAAACCCCAAGGTGGCTGTCACCGATGGAAGCGAAAGCTCTGAAAAAACTCAATATGGAGGCCAAATGGCCGAAATATTGGGAAATTTTGGAACAAGATGGAGATAGACTGAAATTGCAGAGTTTTGAGAAATTAAAAAACAAAGTGCGAGACTGGCTTCATTATTATCAGATAATGGAGGCATATAATTTGGACAAGAAAATTGGTTTCCAGGTGGAAAAATCAAAATTAGAAACAGAACTGTTAGAACCCAAAACTAAGATTTTGTCAAAGATGTATAACTTGCTGTTGAAATGGAATACTCAGGATGAAACGGTGAAATCTGCTATGATCAAATGGGCACAAGATGTTGGACATAACATAATGATGGCTGACTGGGAACAGTTATGGACCACAGGTATGAAGTTTACGGCATGTAATGCCTTAAGAGAGAATATTATGAAAATGATATACAGGTGGTACATGACACCAGTCAAGCTTGCAAAAATTTATCATTTGCCCGATAACAAATGTTGGAAATGTAAAGAAACTGAAGGTACATTCTTTCACCTTTGGTGGACGTGCCCAAGGATTAAGGCTTTCTGGGAGATGATATATAATGAATTGAAAAAGGTATTTAAATATACCTTCTTGAAGAAACCAGAGGCCTTTCTCCTGGGCATGGTCGGCCAATTGGTGCCAAAGAAGGATAGAACTTTTTTTATGTATGCAACAACAGCAGCAAGAATACTCATCGCGAAGTATTGGAAGACACAAGATTTACCCACCCGGGAAGAATGGCAGATGAAGTTGATGGACTATATGGAACTGGCGGAAATGACTGGCAGAATCCGAGACCAGGGAGAAGAGTCGGTGGAAGAAGATTGGAAGAAATTTAAGGACTATCTACAGAAATATTGTAAAATTAATGAATGTTAGAATGATGTTGGATAGAAATTAAGTGGTTTTCAGCTGTAATACTATAAGGGAATATGAAAAATGGATTATTAATAGGTAAAAATTTAACGTTACAATACTTTAAGATTAAAGACTAGGATAAACAAAGAGGGTAAGGATTTGCTGAACCAACAAACTGAACTGGAATACAAAAAAGGGAGGCGTGAGGAGGTCCGGGAAATAAGCTAATGAAAAATAAGTAATGGAAAGATTGAGTTGTTTTTAGCCATTTTTATTTTTGTACTTTTTTCTTTTTTTGTTTTTGTTTTGTAACATTTTGAAAATCTTAATAAATATCTTTAAAAAAAGGGGGGGGGAGAGAAGCGAATGAGCTCCATTGCCAGAGCTGCACTAAGTACTGTTGCATTTCAACTGAAGGGTTTCCTGTAACCGCCTTGCCTAGCTCCTAGGACAAGGATAGCCAGAGTTGGGGGTGAGCTGAGCTGGAATCAGACTGGAAGCTGGAAACACAGAGTCCTGCTTGCTCTGTGCTGGATCGAAAGCTGTTACTAATGAAGAAGCAAGATCTGTTGGGGGTGTTAATGCTGTGAGACACATACACACACCCTTATGCTCAGGTTATATAGATGTGTAAAAATGAAATCATCTATCCTGAAAACACTACAGCCTCCACTGACTTCTGTTCCAAGGAGTACAAATCCTAGATGGGTGTCTGGAACCCCTGGAGTCCCTCACCTCTTGGAGATTGGGGTCACATGTACGGTAACTACACACACGGGCAGGAAGTGTGTCTTCACACACATACACACACAGGCAGAAAGGGTCTGCATTGCACATATTCAGTGGTGATGGATACATTCAGTTTATTGCGCCTCACTCCCACCTTGACAGTATGTGAATGTTGGGAGATCAATCCAATATATAAACAATAGAATCATAGAGTTATGGAATTGGAATGGATCCCGGGGGTCATCTAGTTCACCCCCCTGCAATGCAGGAATCTCAGCTAAAGCATCTATGACAGATGGCCATCCAACCTCTACTTAAAAAACCCCAAGGAAGGAGAGTCCACAACCTCATGAGGGAGTCTGTTCCACTGTCAAACAGCTCTTACTGTTAGAAAGTTCTTCCAAGGGTTTAGTTGGAATCTCCTCTCTTGTAACTTGAAGCCTCTCTTGTAACTTGAGTCCGACCCTCCAGAGCAGGAGTCACTTGAAACCTTCAGATGAGGAGTCACTGGAAGCTGAAGGACCATGCTGCCATATGAGGAACGGTCACAGCCCAGTCCTTAGAGCACATCCTTTCTTGGCACACAGAACATCCCAGATTCAAGCAAGGCTCTAGTCTAGGATCAGCCCGAGCTGAAGGAGAAGCCAGGAGCAAGGAAGGAGAAGCAAGCCAGAAATGTGGACTGAAGAGTAAAGGGTGAAAGACAAACCAGGAAGTAGCCTGGTCAGAATTAGCTGTGATTCCTGCATTGCAGGAAGTTGGACTAGATGATCCTTGGAGTACCTTTCAAGTCTACAATTCTATGATTCCTCAGTCTTGATCAGAGGAGAATCAGGCATTACACCAAGCCCTGGGTAAGGCTCCACCAGGGGGCCAAGATCCTGCAACGAGGCCAAGGAAGGGCTGCACCCAAGGAGAGTTTCTTCTTTTGTATTGATGCTGGACAGGTCCTAAGCCCTAGGAAAAGGTGGCAGCACCTTAAACGCCAGGTGGAAACCCAGCCTCTCCAAAGAAGTGCCAGATTACAGGAAAGGTCTCCTTGGGTTATACTGTGATCTCAAGGAGAGCTCTGGAAAGGAGGGCATTGAGAGGCATCAGCTGATGTTGAGGTGTGGTTCCAGCAGCTCCAGGTGAAAGCACCCTAAGGCTGGGCTGGAAGAACATATGAAGAGTCTGCTGGATCAGGCCAATGGCCCATCTAGTCCAACTGTCTGTGCTCACAGTGGCTAACCAGATGCCCATTGTGGAAATCACACTCAGATCCTGCTGAGCTCTCTCCCCTCCTGTGGTTTCCAGCAACTGGTATTCAGAAACATTACTGCCTCCAACTGTGGAGTCAGAGCAAGGCCATTGTGGCCAGTAGCCCTCACTAGCCCTCTCTTCAACTTGGTGGCCATCACTGCCCCCTGGAGTAGTGCAACAACATCTGTGTACCAGCTGCATGTGCTACCTATGCCAGACCTGACCACAGAGTGCCCTGGCCCTGCCTCTTGCCCAACCCTTGTTGTAGACCTTGCTTGCTTGGACTCTGAACTTGGACCCTAAATTTTGTTCTAGTTCTTGCACCCATGGCTGTGGCTGCTGGCAAGTCTCTTTGTTACTCCAGGGTCCAGTGAGTAAGGCATTAAGAATTCATTGAAACAGAATGCCATTTATACTCCTACCTTGCTCAGAAAGATTTAATGGTCATCTTGGGCGAGCAGAAGGCCATTCCAGAAGCATCTTCCTCGCTGAAAAGACAGCTTCCTGCAATTCAGAGACCCACCACATGGGACAGCTGTGTCTGATCCAGCAGTTCCCAGCCACATGTATGTATGTATGTATGTATGTATGTATGTACAGTGGTACCTTGGGTTAAGTACTTAATTCGTTCCGGAGGTCCATACTTAACCTGAAACTGTTCTTAACCTGAAGCACCACTTTAGCTAATGGGGCCTCCTGCTGCGCCGCCGCCGCCGGAGCACGATTTCTGTTCTCATCCTGAAGCAAAGTTCTTAACCCGAAGCACTATTTCTGGGTTAGCGGAGTCTGTAACCTGAAGCATATGTAACCTGAAGTGTATGTAACCCGAGGTACCACTGTATGTATGTATGCATAGACATAACTATTTTCAGACTGTAGAGCTGGAAAAGTACAGAAAGGGCTACTAAAATAAATAAAGGTGGACTGGGAGCTTTTAAATTTAGACAAAAGATGAGGTTGGCAGGTTGGGTTTGTGGGGGGCTGAATCCAGGGGCAAATGTGTATATAATTATGCATAGAGTGGTGAAAGAATCGAGGATGAGCAGAATGAAACATTCCGCCCCCCTCTTTCAGGCAGAAAGTCCCAGGTTCATCTCCAGATAACTCTGGGGAAGCTGCTGCCAGTCAGTGCAGACAATCTGGAGCTAGATGGGCCCCGTAGACTGAATCAATATAAAGCAACTTCCTGTGTACTCGTTCTATTGGCTGTGGGGCAGAGTGGTCTGACTAAGTGTTAGTCAGCTCCTTAGGTTCCTATTTAATTCATTATCTTTTAGAATGATGATCTAGAACAGGTATAGGCAAACTCCGGCCCTCCAGATGTTTGGGACTACAATTCCCATCATCCCTGACCACTGGTCCTGTTAGCTAGGGATGATGGGAATTGTAGTCCCAAACATCTGGAGGGCCAGAGTTTGCCTATGCCTGATCTAGAACCTTACTTTATGTTTAGGGGAAGGGGTGGCTTAATGGGTAGAGCACATGTTTTGCATGCAGAAGGCCCCACATTCAACCCCCAGTGGCATCTCCATGTAAGGCTGGGAGAGGCTCCCTGCCTGAAACCCTATAGAGCTGCTGCCAGTCAGTGTAGACAATGCTGAGCTATATGGACCAGGGGTCTGATTCTGTGCAAGGCAGCTACCTGTTTTCCTATTTATTTCCTGTTTTTCCTATAGGATTCAGAGGAGGTGGGAGAGGAGAGGTGAGGTTCTGAGTTGAGGAGAGAGGAGGAGAATGCGGCGTAGGGATGGAGAATCTTCCTCCTCCCAAATGCATGAGCCACATTCTCAAAGTGGCTCCATGCTGTATGCCATCCCTAGCAGGCAGGGAGAGAGAAAACAATCTTTGTGTGCAGAGGGAAGGACAAGGGGAGCAGGCAGGCGGGGGGGGGTGTGTTTGAGTCCGGGGCCTAAAGCGACCCAACAAAAGTTTGAGGCAATGTGAGCAGCCTCCATCTGTTTCCACTCAGGCCTATCCTTGGAGGCAGAGTGATGTAACTCTCCCTAACCCCACCGTTCCTCTGGCACAGCCGAGCCCCTCACAACTCCAACTGCAAGCTCCTTCTGCTAATAAGCAGGGACGGGGGGGGGGGGGGACCTGTTTCATTCTCTTCCTAACAGGCCAGACTTTCACCTTGAGGTCCTCCCCATACCCTTGCCTTGACTCTTTTCACACCACAAGGAGTGCAGATGTTAATGAGCATGCAGCTGGCAATGCAATACCTGGCGATGGGGAAACGGGGGAAGGCCTGGTTGGAGGGGGGTATTGTCCCCAACCCATTCCGCCAGGCCCCTTTCCAGAAACGACTCCCCCCCCCTTCCTTAGAAAAGCAACCTCATCTCCATACAAGAAATCCTTAGGAAACTGTGTTCCGGCTGTGATGGAGTTAAATTTATTATGGCTGTTCTTTTTTCCCTCTACGTTCCATCAAGAATGTTTTACCACAGCGCTCTCTCCACACAGTCACCAACCTCCAAGTGGACCATGTTAACAGCAGCATTACACAGCCTGTCAAGGAGCATGTGTTTCTTGTAAGATGATTTCTGGGCCCGCGAACCTTGGTAGGAAATTGTTTATCTCTCCCCCGCCCGCCCGCCCTTCCTCCTCATTTCCTCACTGTACTTCCACTGCCTTTCCCATCCACAGCCGAACGGGGATGTCCAATGTGGACGCTCAGGCAGATGTTGTTTGTTCTTGCCTTCCACTCAAGGAGACCTTGCTCCCAGAATGAAGGCTGAGGCAGACGTGCCTCTTGGAAAAGGGGCGAGGGTTGCTCGACTTCTCGAAGAATTTGAACTTTTATCCATCGAGAACAGATTCTGACCCAGGGCCAAAATATTTCTGCTGCTTCCAAGCCATACGATTCGAGGCGGGTTTTTTTGGGGGGTGGGGGTGGAATTGAGAGTCCTGGTCAGGCAAAACATCTGGAAGGATTTGGGAAGAGGGTGGCTAGCGTTCAATTATAAGACAATCAGTGACATTTCTCCATGGGGGTGGGTCGGAAAGCAGCGGCATACCTACGGTCCCTTGCTCCCATGGCAAGGAGCAGGATCAGCATAATAGCCACATTAGAGACCACTATGTTTTACATGACCCAAGTACTTGAACTGACCGGAGCAAGGGCAAGTCAAGGGGGCAGACTGCAGCCTTGCAAAGTGGCTCAAGGGCTGGTGTTGCTCTGGGAGTGAGGGCTGGGCTGGCTTGCGGTGGGCTCCTTTCACCCTCTGTGCCCCGCTGCCCCGGGCCTGGTTAAAGCACATTCTGCTGCTGTACACTATGCATTCTGATAGGTGATTTTTGCATGTCCTTGGATCTGTGCCCCCAGCAGAGGCAGGTTTAACCAATTCCTAGGTATGCCTCTGTGGAAGCATGGTTTTGCCCAGATGTACAGCAAAGGTGAAGGGACCCCTGACCATTAGGTCCAGTCGTGACCGATTCTGGGGTTGTGGAGCTCATCTCGCTTAGTAATAATAATAATAATAATAATAATAATAATAATAATAATAATTTTTATTTATACCCCGCCCTCCCCAGCCAAGGCCGGGCTCAGGGTGGCTAACAAGCAATAATAAAAAGAAGTTGAATGAATACAACTTAAAAACAAGATTAAAATACAACATTAAAATATTGAAACATTAAAATATTAAAATGCAGCCTCATCACAGGAGGAGAAAGGAAAAATAAAACAGAAAGAGGGGGAGGGAATAAAATTGGCTCCAAGCCAAAGGCCAGGCGGAACAATTCTGTCTTACAGGCCCTGCAGAAAGAAATCAGATCCTGCAGGGCCCTGGTCTCATGAGGCAGAGTGTTCCACCAGGCCGGAGCCAGTGTTGAAAAGGCCCTGGCTCTGGTTGAGGCTGATCTAACTTTCTTAGGGCCCGGGACCACTAGGGTGTTGCTATTTATGGACCTTGAGGCTCTCCGTGGGGCATACCAGGAGAGGCGGTCCCGTAGGTACGAGGGTCCTAGACTGTGAAGGGCTTTAAAGGTCAAAACCAGCACCTTAAATCTGACCCTGTACTCCACCGGGAGCCAGTGCAGCTGGAAATGTTGCATATCATAAGGTAAAGCAAAAGCTGTAGGTGAGTATAAGGAACATAAGAGCCCTGCTGGATCAAGCCAGTGGCCCATCTAGTCCACCAACCTGTTCTCACAGTGTCCAACTAGGAAAGTCATACACAGGTCAATCTAGTGTTGTGCCAAAATCTGCCCTCTGGTTCCTTTATCTTTTTTCTTCTCCTGCAAAAGAGGCTTCATGTTTTGTTTCCTGCCTCATTTTCATTTCTCAAGGTGCTTTAGGATTTTGGAGGGTGAGAGGAGGTTGAGCTTATCATTCTTTTCCAAGGTGGTTTGGGTGGTGTGGTTTTCTTTCCAGGAAACATTTATTCAGCCCTCGCCATTGGTGACCCATGCTTCCTAAACTGAAATAGCTCCATAGGAGGAGTCAACCTTGTCATGTCACCACCCCCAGTTTTGTTGTGCAGGGATCCAGGTTGGTTGCAGAGTGCGGACCATTGGTGAGGTGGTTTGTAGAATGAACAACTACCCCCAGCCACCTTAAAAGTAAAGTAAGTGCGACAAAAAACCAGTTTCCCCAACCTATGAGAATGTCACTAAAAAAATTCTCTCCACTTTCGAGGGCGTTTTCTCATCAGTGGGTGGAGAACAGTTGGGAACCACCCACCCACTAGAGAAATCATCAGCACAGGAAATAATTGATAGTGTTACCAAAGTTGGGTGCCTCCTTCTCTCTCTGCTGAGCATTGGCAAGAGTCTATGGGGTTTCCAACACTCACCCAGGGTTTGTGTTTCCTTTGGAGAATTGAGACATGGCAGACACTGTCGTAGCTTTAAGAAATAAGGTTTATTCACTTTCAGTCTGCATAGAGGGAATCCAGATCTTACAGCATGGTCATCTCAAGAGGGGCTTGTTCCCTTGTCCCCCACAGAGGTGCAGCCCTGAAGTCCAAGGCATCTCTCCCAGCCAGCCTTCAGCCAGCCTGCCCAAGATGGATCCCAGTCTTTCTTCTTCCTCCTCCTCCTTCTCCCCAGCACACCTTGCTAAAAACTCTCTTTTCCTGTCACCTCACACCCAGTTACCCTCGCAACCTTCCACATCTCAGGGCACCTCAGGGCAACTGGGGAGACATTGCCTATGGCACTCAGTGGCCCTGTATTGTTTCTTAATAGCCCTAACTTGGCCAGGTCTTTTGCATAAGCTAGCTGTAGAATTCCTCTGCAGCTTATTTTCCCGCCTTCACATCCCAAATAATCAAAATCCTACCATTTATTAATTTCTAGGGTTTAGGGGCCCCCCACCCCAAATATATAACACCAGGAAGTTTGAGGGAAATCAAACAACTGTGGATGAGTTTCTATATATTTCTATATATTCCACTGCTTTGTTTGCACCTCACTCATATTCAGGGAAACTGAGGACAACCTCACACCATTTTTGAGATGCAAAAATCACAGCAAATTCTCTATTTAAAACATAAGAAGAGCTCTGCTACATCTGGCCAATGACCCATCTCACAGTGACCAACCTGGTGCCCCAACTGGGAGAAGCTACCAAGCAGGACCTGAGTACAAGAGCCCTCTTCCCTTCTGTGGTTTTCAGCTACTGGTATTCATTGCTGTCTACAACTGTAGAGGCAGAGCAAGGCCATAATGTCTAGTAGCCATTCATAACCGTATCCTGCTCCATGAATTTGTGCAATCCACTTTTAAACTCATCCAAGTTGGTGGCCATTTTTGCCTCCTGTGGGAGTGAGTTCCACAGTTTAACCATATGCTTTCTTCCCTTCTGAATCTCCCAGCATTCAGCTTCATAGTATGTCCATGAGTTCTGGTGTTAGGAGAGAGGGAGGTAACCACTTCTCTACTCACTTTCTCCATGCCATGCATAATTTTATAAACTCCTATCATGCCAACGATTACTCACCTTTTCTTTGTTTTTAAAAAGTCCCAGACGTAGCAATTTCAGATTGATGCTCTTCCTCCTATAAGCCCTTTGTTATTGTTCAGGAAGCCATTGTCCCCTTCCCCCACCTTCATATAAATAAACCACCCCAAATTTCCTATATTTTCCAAGCCAGCTCTTCACTTTCATTTTGTTGATGGGATAGAATGTTTAGTGTTCTGTTAATGCATCTCTCCCATTTATCACTGGGGTTCTTCCTCCTTTCCCCCACCCTCTCAATGGTGTCTGTTCTCTGCTGGGACACGGTTGAGGCTCAGAGCCAATGGGGTGATGAGCCAGAGTTGCATTCGTTCCACCAAGGTCCCCTGCTCCCTCTGTAGAACATTTTTGCCTCTGAAGTCCAAGGAAAAGAAAATCCCTTTAGGGAATAAACTTTCCTCAAGTATTGCTGAGTCAAAACAGATCTATACATCTATTGCAAACATCTCAGTCATGAGAGCATATGAGCAGAGGGTGGGACGTTTTTAGTCCTGGTGGGGCACATACCATCATGGGGAGCTTTGCAGGGGTCCAGGCACAGTGGTGGGCATGGCTGGAGGCAAGAGCAGTAGGGGAAGTATTTATTTATTTGTTTGTTTGTTTTACTTCATAACATTTATACACTAAAGGTAAAGGACCCCTGACAGTTAAATCCAGTCATGAACAACTCTGGGGTTGCGGCACTCATCTCGCTTTATTGGCCGAGGGAGCCAGCGTACAGCTTCCGGGTCATGTGGCCAGCATGACTAAGCCGCTTCTGGCGAAACCAGAGCAGCGCACGGAAACGCCGTTTACCTTCCCGCCGGAGTGGTACCTATTTATCTACTTGCACTTTGACGTGCTTTCGAACTGCTAGGTTGGCAGGAGCTGGGACCGAGCAACGGGAGCTCACCCCGTCACGGGGATTCGAATCACTGACCTTCCGATCGGCAAGCTCTAGGCTCAGTGGTTTAGACCACAGCTCCACCCGCAAAAAGGCAGAACTCTAGAAGTAATTCACAAAAAAGATGAAAACAATAAAATATCAATAAGAAAAATTAACAATTTAAGTTTTTGAAAATAATAATGATAATAATAATAATAATAATAATAATAATAATAATAATAATACTTTATTTATACCCGCCCATCTGGCTGGGTTTCCCCAGCCACTCTGGGTGGCTCCCAACAGAACATTAAAAACACAATAAAAGATCAAACATTAAAAACTTCCCTAAACAAGGCTGCTATCTGATGTCTTCTAAACGTCAGCTACTGTAGTTGTTTATTTCCTTGACATCTGATGGGAGGGCGTTCCACAGGGCAGGTGCCAATACCGAGAAGGCCCTCTGCCCGGTTCCCTGCAACCTCACTTCTCGCAGTGAGGGAACTACCAGAAGGCTCTCGGAAAAGTAAAAATAGCAATGGACTAAAACAGAATAAAATTCTCATCAACTTTCAAACAACCAGATAGGCTTGCCTAAACAAGAATGGAAGAGTACAGCAAAGGGGCCTGCTTGATGTCACTAGGCAGGGAGTTCCAAAGTGCAGGTGCCACCATAGTAAAAGATTGAGTTCTTATAATTGCAGAGTGGGCATTATGTGGCAGCTGTGAAAGGGCCAGTTCTGCCGACCAAAGCAGTCAATTGGAAGCCACAGAAGAGCAGAGTCTTGATTGTGGGCTTCTTCCCAATGGGGCACCTGGTTGGCCACTGTGAGGACACGATGCTGGACCACTGACCAGATCCAGCAGCCAGACATTCTTATGTGAAGACGGAGGTCATTCCCCTCCCCCTCCCTGCTGCCTATAATGAGAGAGGGTTTTTTTCCCCCCTGCCAGAGTTCTGCAGGCAGAAGCGGAGAGCAGCTGGTGGGCTCTGGTGCGCAGATGGGAGTGCAGATGACTGCGCTCCAATCTCAACTTTGAAACACTTCCAGCTTTCATCGGATGATTCCACTCAGGGCTTGGCTCAGCTGACGAGAAGGGATGGCCAAGGAAGCTGTCTGCAAAAAAAAAGAAAAGAGGGTAAGCAATTGGAGTATGTGCAGCCCTTGTTCAGTTCCCTAATGCTACTCTGAGTATGTTGGGGCCATTAAATAATAGAGCCGGAAGGGTCCCCAGGGGTCATCTAGTCCAAACCCTTGCAAGGCAGGAGTCACATGGGGAGCATGTGCAGCCCTCTTAAGCAAACAAGTCTGGCTTGGCATCCACCTTTTCTCTCTCTTAAGACCTTTTCTGCTCATTTTGTGTAAGTGCCCATAAAACAGACTCTCTCTTTTTTGGGGGGGGGGGAGCAGGGGGCAGAGTTTCTCATGTTGCTTTACAGCAGGGCCAGCTCCCAAGAGAGCTACTTCATTGCAAAACAAAGCAAGAGGTTTTATCCCAGAATCCCATTCAGGCCTGCTGGGCATGGAGACACGACTCTGAAGCCACCGAACAAACTCACGAGTTTCTGGTCCTGCAGCGTGTGGAGCTGCGAAAAAGAAAAACGGAAAATGTCAATGTGGTTTGTTATTACATGCTGCCGAAGCCCTTCTTCCAGTCTCTAAAAGTTTTGGGAGGCTTGTAATGTTCTGCTCAAGGATGAGCCAGAAGTTTTAAATGCCAAATTCTTCTGGGGCTTAGAGGAAAATCCCAGCTGGAGAAGAATAAGTATGCAAGAAGAGTCCTGCCGCTGGATCAGACCACTGGCCCATCTAGTTCAGCATCCTCTTCTCACAGCAGTCAGCCAGATGCCCCCAAGGGAAACCCACATGCAGGATCTGAGCACAAGAGCACTCTGGCCTCCTGTGATTCCCAGCAAAGGGGACTGAGAAGCAACTGCTGACTCTGTCTGCGGAGGGAGAGAATTGCCATCATGGCTAGTAGCCATCAATAAGCCTCTCCTCCTCCATGGATTTGTATAAGCCTCTTTTAAAGCCATCCAAGCTGTTGGCCATCACTGCCTCCTGTGGGAACAAGTTTCATGGTTTAATCTCTCTTAATTATTCCCACTAGTGTACAAATATCCCTTGAATAAACAATTCTAGTTGATTATTATTACTGTTGTGGTTGTTATTATATTTATGATAGCCTGTTTTCCCACTCCAGATCGGGACTGAAGGCAGCTTACAGAAATTAAAACAATACGGATAAAATACAAAAAGCTAAAAGCACATAAAAGAAAATTGTTTTAAAAAAGCAACTAAAGCAAATTTATTAAAATACATATGGTAAAAATAGCACCGTTTAAAACCCTTTTCTTTTAAAACTAGTCATTCCCTCAAAAGCCTGTTGGGAAAAGAAAGTCTTTGCATGCCAATGGAATGAGGAGGAGGGAGCCAGTCTGGCTTCTCTAGGGAGGGAGTTCCAAAATCTGGGAGCAGCCACCAAGAAGACCCTTTCCTGCACCCCTCGCCCCCAGCTTGCCTGTGAAGATGGTAGGACTGAAAGAAGGGCCTTGCCTGGCAGGTTAGATGATGATTTGATTTAACCGATATCCTAGCCTTTCTCTTAAAGGAACCTAGGGGGGCATTTTTATTCAGTCCCTAGGGTAGGGGTCAATCTCATGCCTTACACCTCTGTTTCCATCCCTCCTCGCACTTATCCTGACCGCTCATCTCTTTTCCCTTTCAGCTGGATTGCTGGGGCAATGGGAAGATGTGTTGAAGGGGAGGGAGATCTCATTCTCCCCTTATTCTCTGGTATCTGGAGACAAGGCCCAAGTAGCCCCTGAGAAATGTAACTTTCAATGAAAGACATGCTGGAATGTAAATGACCAGGGGGATGAAATAGTCTCCGTCCACATTCCACTCCACCCCACCCTGTGCCGTCGCAACAGCTTAGAGCACTTAGCATTTTGGAACGGTGATGAAAGGTTATACATGATCATCTCCCATTTCTCCTTTGCCTTTATAAACAAGGGGTACCCTTTGATCCCATCTGGATGGTGGAGACTCTCGCCACAGGGCTGTCTTTATACATACGTATGGTGCATTTTAAATGACCGGTCTTCCGAGGACAGTCAAGGCAGGAGGCAGAAGCCTCTCAATGCAAATTTAAGAACATAAGAAGAGCCTGCTGCTCAATCAGGCCAATGGCCCATCTAATCCAGCATCGTGTTCTCACAGTGGCCAACTAGATGCCTGCATGGAAAGCCTGCAAGGAGAATCCAAGCACAAAAACACTCTCCCCTCCTGTGGTTTTCAGCAAATGGTATTCAGAAGCATTGCTGCTTCCAACTGTGGAGGCAGAGCACAGCCATTGTGGCTGCTAGCTATCAGTAGGCCCCTCCTCCTCCATGTATTTGTCCACCTTCTTTTAAAGTCATCCAAGTTGGTGGCCATCAGTGCCTCCTGTAGGGCTGAGTTCCATAGTTTGATTATGTGCTGTGTGAGTAAGTCACATCCCCCCCAACAGTCCCGGAATTATGAAAGCCGCCTCGGCTTCTGATTTCATCCCGGAATGTCCCTATTTAATTCACCAGCACTGCAGCCACCGAACTCAGGGAGAAGCATGAGCCCAGCGCTTGTCCCGAGCAGCAGCGGCAGCTGCGGCTGTAAGAGAACATTCCGTTGCCTCTGCATGGCTGCCGCTGCCAACCTTCTCTCTCTCTGGCAGCTCATAGCAGCTGCTGGAGAGCGGGCAAGGAGAAGGGGCCACCACTGCCAAGGCCCAGCCCCGTGTGGCATGACAGTTCTGAGGGGCAGGCAGAGAGCAGGCTTGTCCTAGAGAGGAAGAAAGGGGGAACAGAACACAGCGCAAAGAAGTCTTGATTTTTATTTTCATTTTTAAAAAATGCTTTGCGCATCCACGTCTAATGTTGCCCATCTCTAAAATTTATTCATTGGTGAGGTTTTCTATTTTTGTAAATCTACCAAAGGATAAAATAAAATTGCGGGGGGTTTTCCTAGTCAGTGGAGGGTGTGTTTGCTGTGTCCCATTGGTGTTGTCACTCACCCTTCTTCTGATAGGAAATGCTCTGCTGGGGGAGGGGACAAAATGGGGGGTCGAGGAGGGTCCATTGGGGGAGGGGAGTGAGAAATGTCCCTATTTTCATCTGAGAAATTTTGGAGGGTATGATAAGTTCTTTCTTTTATCTGTCCTTCAGCCTCCAACATTCAGCTTCATAGGAGGTCCATGAGTTCTAGTGCCTTGACAGAGTTGGGAAAAAACCTTTCTCTGTCCGTTTTCTCCATTCCATACTCTGAGGCGGGTAGAGAAGGGCTCTTTCCAGTTTTTGGACCCCAGGTCATTCAGGGCTAAGTCAACATCAATGCCTTCTACTAGGGCCAGAAGAACATAGGTGGACAGTACAAATCTGAGACCTCAGTCTGCATCCTTTGGCTAACTGTTGTCTTCAAGGAGAGCCGCATGTAGAAAGCATTGCTGTAGTCAATATGCAAAGGCATTTGTGTCCAATCTGCCCATTAAAAATGTAAACTAGAAAAAAAAATACACTCTATCCCTGCTCAATTAGTTTCAGTTCGAAAGGTGGTGAAAAAACACAGAAGGAGCCAATAAGTCTCCTCCAAAGCGCTCAAAATAGTGGTTTTTGAAAAATATGGTTTGAGCCTGAAAGGAGTATTTATCAACTCGTAGATTATGCTTCTTAATTGCACTCATTTATTAAAACAAGCTTGATTGTCAAGGAAACCCCAATGCTTCCCAATGGGAAACAGAGCCTGGAATGTGGTTATTCTTCCCCCATGCCCCACCCCATAATATTATGCCTTATGGGGAAAGTGCCTGTTTGCATTACCAGGACAGTGAGTGAGATGGTTCATTTCCTTGAAAAATCCCACAGTCATCTCATGGTGGATAGAGCAAGGCTTAGATCAAGGGTTCCCAAAGTGGGCAGCGGGATTACCAAGGGAGTTTCTAAAAAGTCAGGGGGCAGCAGGGGGGCACTGGAGGTGCAAATGACTATCAGACTTTGAAAAGTTCATCTTTTAAAAAATCAGTTAAACAAAATCAGTTCGATTGAATTTTGAATAAATGCATAGCCTCCAATGAGGCTATTTCATTTCTCCAGTGAAAACACCCTATTCTACATTAGGAAGCTTCTCCTGCATTTGATCTCACTGCACACAGAGACATCGTACACATACACACATATATCGGTCGCCTTGAGCCGATGGCAACCTCGCAACCTAACCTACCTCACAGGATTGTTGCAAAGAAAAAAATGTGTGAGGGGAAGGATCGTGTACAACATGAAACATAATGTTAGCTTCACACTGCCTTGAGTCTCTATCAGGGGAAAAGGCTGGACGACAACAACAACAACAACAACAACAACAACAACAACAACAACTGTGAGAATGATCAGGAACATACCAGAGAGTAAATCCTAGTGAACTCAATGGGACTTAGTTCTGAGTACAACTGCTTAGGATTGCAATTTAAAGACTTCACAGTTTACCCAGTTACCTGGCAGTTGAATACAGTAGGATTTACTTTTCAGCACGTGGTGTAAGGCTCCATTTACAATAAAGGAATAAACACTCCACGCGTTTCCTAAAAGATATCAGGCTGCAGAAGCATTGCACTTAAAGAATTTAAAGCAGATTGGCAACATTTCCTTTAAAATTATAGGAAGGGCTTTATATGCCAGCTTCACCATTTCCTTCATTTGGTGCAGGGATTTTGTTTTCAGTATAAACAGAAGTCCATTTTTGTCCTTACACACACTGCTTTTAATTGTTCTCTAACACGGGGAGGGGAGGAAAAAGGAAAACCTGGACATTGTGGAATCAAATCAGAAACTGGGACGTCTTCTGTAATTTCGGGAATGTCCCTGGAAAACAGGGATACTTGGAGGTATGTAAATGTGCAGTTAATTAACACTGTTTTCAGTTTTATTGTGTGGGGAATGCAAAATGCTATTATGAGTGTCACACACACACACACACACACACACACACACACACACATGGCAGGGGGAATGGGAATGAGTAGGAGACAAGGGGGTACAGGCCTGTAAAGGTTTGGCAATCGCTGGCTTAGATCATAAGCAACAAGAATCTGATGTGGGACTGCCTTTAGGCGATGAAGCAGAGCTCTGGGAAATGCCACATCAGAAAGAGTCTGGCATATTAAATAAATGTGCAGAGAAAGAAAGAGTCTGGCTACCAGCATGGGGGTGTGGGTGGGACATCTAGTTGACCATGGAAATGTGGGGGTGGGGTAAAGCAGTTTGGTGGGTCTGCATTTTTCCCCAGTGAAGTTTCAGAGGAAAGAAAAAGACCACTTGCAGAGCCTGTGGTCAGTCCTTTTCCCATAAAGAAAAGGCTTGAGTATTCTGCCAGCCTCGTCTTTTAGTCAGGGATGTGGAGGGGTGGCCAGGCAGGGGATCCTGTGTGAGTCAGTAAAAATATGGTCTTCTGCAAAAACCTTCCTTGACACAGAAAAGGGATTTTTGCTTCTTCTGAGAGTGGCTGAATTTGCCCATCTTAGTTTATCTGATCTTTAGTTCAACACACGCTGGCTATTTATTATTATTTTTAAGTCCTTATGAAAAAAATTCAAATTGTTCAGTCCAACCCCAAGAGAGACAGTGTGGTTAGAGTGCCAGAGTAAAACCTGGGGGAACCCAGTTCAATTTTCCCCCACTTAGCCATGAAGCTCACTGGGTGAGCATGGGCCACAGTCGCTGCCTTGAGTACCTTGTAGAGGAAAAAAATATGCAATATCAATGCAAAAATAAAATAAATCAAAATAATATACATATTTTAATGAATATTTCCATAACAGACACATTTGTGCAAGCTATTCTGCCTAATATAGGGCACTTTTATTCAGGCTGCACCTAATAAATGCATTCTTGTGAACGTTGTTTAGTCAGAGAACTGCATTGCAAAATCTGAATGTGTGAATTCTGAAGGAAGGCTGTATTTCAGTCCTCATGTTGTTGTTTTTCCAGAGAGCGTGAAATTGATAAAAGTCAACTTTAAATATAAAATGAATTTAATTTCTCCCCCATCTCTATTTGTGAGTAGAACCTCATTGAATGCTACCCATAGATACATATTGGGTTGTACACAGTGCTAGTCCTACGTAAAGCAGACCAACTGAAATCAATGGCCCTAAGTTAGTCATGCTCATTTATTTCTGTCTTGGTCCTCAGGAAGTGTGGGGGGGGCCTCTCCTTTGTTGGAGGTGTTCAAACAGAGGTTGGATGGCTACCTGTCAGGGATTCTTCAGCTGCGATTCTTGCATTGCAGGGGGTTGGACTGGATGACCCCTGGGGTCCCTTCCAACTGTGATTCTAGCCTTAAGTGGTGGTGGATGAGCTTCTTTCCGTGGCGTAATGGGTCAGTATATCTGGCTTCTGTTAACTAGTGTGTGGGTCAGCTTCAAAGCTCAGAACTCATCCCTTAGAAAACATCTTCCCTTACCTAGGCCAGGGTTGGGGAAAGTGGACCACCCCCTGACCTTCTTGGCCTACAATGCCCCATCATCATGCTTTGCTGTTGGCCTTGATGGCTGGGGCTGGCAGAAGGTTGGGCTCTGATAACATCTGGATGGCATCTACATTTGCTGCTGTTCCAAGGTGTGTGTCTGAACCCACATGTATACTCATGTATATCCCTACACAGACTAGGACCTTTGCTAGAGTTATAACATGTGTTCATTGTGAACAGGTGTTTGCCCTTAACCTTATGACCCAAGAGGTTCACACATAAGAGGAATTTTAAAAGGTTTGTCTATTACATGAAAGTGACAAGAGCATCTGGATGCTGCTTCAGACAGCAAAGTTACAGTATAGGCAGGCAGCAAAACACACACACTCAATACAGAGATTCTAAAGAGCAAAGGAAGGATCCCTATAATAGAATCATAAAGTGGGAAGGGACCCTAGTTCAGCCTCCTGGAATGCAAGACTATGCCGCTGCCATTCATGGGGATTGAATCTGCAACCTTTGCATTATCAGCACCACGCTCTAACCAAATAAGCTATTCAGCTGACTGAAAGCCTAGAGAGAGTGAACAAGACAATTTTGCCACAGAGCCACACTTATATGTAAAGCAAAAAAGGGAGGGAGGGTAGTATACCTGTCTTGAAGTGAAGTGGTGCCAGTCTGGTCCTTGAGAGTTGTTATGTACTAAGCTTGGATCCTAATGTTGGAGCTGTGAGAGCCAACCAACCATTGAAATCTGGGTTTTGAATACTATTCTCAGCCAATGTTAGGTCACGGAGAAGGGAGGGGGTCTTTGGGAAGAGTGATTTGTCACCTCTGTTTCTATTGCCTGTTCCTAAAGTTTCTTGACTATTATTTTGTTTACCTTCCTCGGTTTGGTAGTAGAAAGAATGCTGGTGAGAAATGACTATCTTGTTATCTTAGCTTTCCCCCCAAGTTTAACTTGGGTGGATTCTATTGTGTATATGGAAATTCATTCTTTTTACAGGAGATGTTAATTAAATTTTACGGGCAACAGGTTACTGTGCTGATCTTTACGTAAAGTCTTAGGAGATCGGGTAACCTTCTAGAACACGTTCAGGATAAAGACTTGCACCGGGGTCAAGAAATTTCATTGAGAAGTATATTTTATATCAAGCTATGCCAACTATGCTGACACCATGATCTACACCTATAAACTGTAGGGAAAGTTGAGGTTGGCATTCACCATTACAGTACCCTGGATCAAAATGATGAGCTGGATTCTCCACCTTCCTATGCTTTGAATTCTGAATCAATTTCACTCCGTATAAGTGACAGTCAGCCTGCTGTCAAGCAAATTAACGCATAGCCCTCAGGTTTTTGACACTGAGACAAATGCCTTATAGCAGCTATGTAGAATGTAAAATCCTCCCTCCAAACATGCAAAATCCCTTCCAAAAGAACTCAACACACACACACACACACACACACACACACACACACACAGAGGCAGGGTAACATGTTGTTGCAAGACCATCCGACTAAGGTAATTTAGTCTAACTTAGTCTTAGTCTAAGGCACATCAACAGGTAAGTCTCAGTATAAATAAAAATTGTTGTCTTCCTTTGGACGGCAGTCTTGGAAGCTCTGCCTTTTGTAGGATGATCCTCTGCACACTTACATGAGAGGAAGCCCTGCTGAATAAAAACATCAGAAGAACTTGCTGCATCAGGCCATAGGGGTTGCATCTAGTCCAGCTTCCTGTCCTCACAGTGGCCAACTGGATGCCTATTATGAGAAGCTCACAAACAGGATCCGAGCACAAAAGCCCTCTCCCTTCTTGTGGTTTCCAGAAACTGGGGTTCGGAATCATAGAGTCATAGAACTGTAGAGTTGAAAGGGACCCTGAGGATCATTCTAGTCCACACACACACCCCCCCCCGCGATGCAGGAATATGCAGCTGTCTCATAAGGGGTTTGAACCTGCAACCTCGGCATTCTCAGCACCATGCCCTAACTAACTGAGCTATCAGCACTGCTGCCTCTGCATAGCCAACATTGGCTAGTAGTCATTGAGAGCCCTCTCCTCCCTGAACGCAATGCCCAAGGGTCTGACTCAGTATAAGGCAGCTTTCCATGTTCCTATTTAATTCTGCCCATGCCCTTTTATTCAGAACCATGAGGACTGGAATCTTTTGTCTTCTTTTAGAGAAAAGGCTGCAGCTCAGTGTTGGAGCATCTGCTTTGGATGCAGGAGGTCCTAGCTTCAGCCCCTAGTGTCATCTCCTGGCAGGGCTGGGAATGTCCCCTGCCTGAAACCCCGGAGACCTGACGCCGCCAATCAGTGTTGACAATAGTGAGCTGGATGCACCATTGGGTCTAATTCAAGAGAAGGCAGCTTCAGCCACTCCTATGCATACAAATATTAAGCAGCATATTGAGTGTTTAGGTTCTGTTTTCAACATGAGCAGCCAGGAGACTTCAGTAACCCAGACACACTTCCTATAAGTGCTGTTGATGACTTGATCTCCATACCATTCTGCAGCCCGCCCCCTCCCCTTCCCGCTTAACTCCAATATTAACCTCTGACCCCTCCTGATCCAGGATCCAGGGCTGCTCCAAAGCATCTTCTTGGCCTCTTGGCTGCCGTTTATCATGTGGCTGATGACATGGGACATATGGAGCTGTTCATTACCATATTGTACGTTTCTTGAAAGGAAGCCTTCTGGTACATTCCATCAGGCCGAGTCATATGGTGGAACGGGGCCAACTCTGCAATGCTTCCTTTCCTTCTCCCCTCTTCTCCCTCCTTGACTTCCACCTCTCCTAGCCTGGCCTTGGGACTCTTCTCTTACAAGGCCTCCCTTGCAATTGATGTTGAAAGCAGCGGCTGTGAAAAGGGCAGATTCCACACTAGGGATTGTTAGGAAAAGGAACTGAAAATAAGACTGATGATATCACAGTGCCTGGAAACCACAGGAGGGGAGAATGCTCTTATGTTTGAATCCTGCTCATGAGCTTCCCTTTGGGGCATCTGATTGGCCACTGTCAGAACAGGATGCTGGGCTAAATGGCCTCCCTCTGGCCTAATCCTGCAGGGCTCTTCTTACATTTTACCTTCACTGTCAGAGGGAGTATGCCTCTGAATAACTGTTGCTTGAAATCACAAGAAAGTTAGTTTTGCAGTCAGGTCTTGCTTGGAGGATTTCCCACTGAGGCATCAGTTTGGCCACTGTGAAGACAGGATGCTCAGTCTCATCCAGCAAGGTTCTTCTCATGTACTTATCAGATATTTTTGGCACAGGACAGGCAACTCCCCATTTACGTGGGGGGTTGTGTTCCAAGGCACCTTACGCATCAGCAGGACGTGAATAAGCCTGCCCTGTTCCACCCCCCCCCCCTTGTGGTGCCCCAAAAGGCACATACATCAACAATTGTGCACGTGCTGATTCCGTGGAAATGGGGAGTTGCCTGTACTATTTTATACCAGCTGCAGATTGTGAGCCCATGCCACCTCTTACAATTCAGGAGAACATACAGTGGAACACAAGCTCTCTGTTGGACATACAGAGCAGACGCTCCAAGAGTTCCCCATTTTCCAGGGACGTCCCAGATTTACAGAAGCCATCCGAATTTCCGATTTAATCCCAGAATGTCCTGCTTTTCCTTAGGACGTCCCTATTTTCATCGGAGAAATGTTGGAGGGTATGGAGTTATCCAACCCCCGAGCCATCTGAAGGCAGCCCTATATAGGGAAGTCTTTTTTTAAAAAAAAATGATATTTATTAAAATTTCAGAGAATACAAGAATTACACAAAAACAAAAAGTAAAAATACAAGAAAATACAAAATACAAATTACAAAAAAAGAGTAAAAGACACTTAAAAAGAGAAAAAAAAGAAAAAGAAAAATAGATCATTCTTTCCATACCTTACATTTATATCGTTGTTTCCCTGACCTCCTCATACCTCCCTTTATTGTATTCCAGTTCAATTAGTTAAGTCAGCAATTTCTTTCCCTCTTTGTTTTCTCATGATTCTTTAACTTAATATACTATAACTTTAAATTTTCATCTGTTATCAGTCCTTTTTTACCTACACCTTTATAACATTACTGCTTAAACCACCTAACTTCATTCCAACATCATTCTAACATTCATTAATTTTACAATATTTCTGTAAATAGTCTTTAAATTTCTTCCAATCTTCTTCCACCGACTCTTCTCCCTGGTCTCGGATTCTGCCAGTCATTTCCGCCAATTCCATGTAGTCCATCACCTTCATCTGCCATTCTTCCAGAGTGGGTAGGTCTTGTGTCTTCCAATACTTTGCAATAAATATTCTTGCTGCTGTTGTGGCATACATAAAGAAAGTTCTGTCCTTCTTTGGCACCATTTGGCCGATCATGCCCAGGAGAAAGGCCTCTGGTTTCTTCAGAAAGGTATATTTAAATACCCTTTTCATTTCATTATAAATCTTCTCCCAGAAAGCCTTAATCCTTGGGCACGTCCACCAAAGGTGAAAAAATGTACCTTCAGTTTCTTTACATTTCCAACATTTATTATCGGGCAAGTGATAGATTTTTGCAAGCTATATAGGGAAGTCTTTTGATGTTTAATGTTTTTTAATGTTTTTATATGTTGGAAGCCACTCAGAGTAGCAACCCAGTTAGACGGGTGCGGAATAAATAGTAACATTATTATTATTATTGAATAGGGTGTCCCAATTTCCATCAGAGAAATGTTGGAGGGTATGACAGAGCAAACTTCTTATGACACAAAGTTACTGCAGTCTTTTTAGCATTAATGTCAGATGCCCACAGAAAGAAGGTGACCTCTTCAGAGTTTCTGTCCAGATGCTCATCATCATTATCCCTTGGGATTATGAATCCTGCAGCCGGCTTTCCTGGAGAGCACCTTTGCCGTGTGGCTTCATCTCCTTAGCAAACACATTTTTGGACCGTGAGTCAAGTTTCATGGAGGTTTCTTAATCACACCACAAGCATCCTTGATTTATGTGTACTTTCCACCAGAAGACGTTGTTTAGCAATGTGGGAAAGGGCACTTGGAAACAGTTAGCAAGAGCCTGAAGTAGAGGCTCTTTGTATTGAGGGATAGGTAGCAGAAATACAATTGATTAGGTCCTTTCCAAGTTGGGCCATCTGCTCTTTTTTGCAGTGTGGGAACATACACAGTATTTCCCGATATCTCCAGCTGGCAAACATTTTTGCAATTAGATGCATGTAGAAGAGTATTTTTTAGCCACTTTGAGAACAGGATGCTAAACTAGATGGGCCATTTGCCTGATCCAGCACTGCTCTCCATTTTATTGTTGTTATTATTTAACAATTTTCTATACTGCCCATCATCTGAGGATCACAGGACAATGTACAATATGAAGACATAAAAAATTATATGATGGTAACAATACCAGTACCTCGCCCTACAGACAGTTTAAAATGCCATAGATTGTTTAATTGGCCAAAGGCCTTGAAGAAGAGGATTCCTTTTCCCTAAAGATACATAAAGAAAGCACTAGGTGAGCCTCACTGAGGAAAGCATTCCATAAACAGGGAGCCACTGCAGAAAAGGCCCATTCTCATGTTGCCACCCTCTGGACCTCTTGTGGAAAAGGGCCTCAAGATGATGATCATAGGGTCCATGACGGTTAACACGGAGAGAGGTGGCCCTTGAGGTACTGCGGTCCTGAGCCATTTAAGGCTTTGTAGGTCAAAACCAGCACTTTGAATTGGGTCCAGAAACTAATTGGCAGCCAGTGCAGTTGGGCCAGAATTGACACTTGTCCCAGTGATCAACCTGGCTGCTGAATTTTGCACCAGTGGGCATTTCTGAACTGTCTTCAGAGGCAGCCCCATGTATAACATGTTGCAGTAATCTAACCTAGAGTTTACCAGAGCCTAGATGACAAAGGTTAGGCTATGCCTGTCCAGATATCCAAAGAATCGTCAAGCTACAATTCTCAGAGTTTCCTGAAAAGTGGGCTTGATTGTTAAAGCGCCCTAGTGATTGCTGCTCTGTGAGGGGAATGGGGGCAGGTGTCTCCAAGCAACTCTCAGATCCCAGGATTCTTTGGGGGAAGCCATGACTGTTTAAAGTGGTAGGATACTGCTTTAAATGAATAGTGCAGGTGGGGCCTATTACTAGCATTGAATACCAACCGTGGGCCCCAAACAAATTCATTTGCAGGAGGGACGCTGTGATTGCACCAATTTAGTGAATTGAATTGAACATACTGTACACTTGAAATGACAATACTGTACTGAAATTATATTTGCAGAGATGAGTCTGAATATGTAACAGATTCAGGAGGAAGAGCCTGGCTGCTGGATCATATCAAAGGCCTATCTAGCCCAGCATCCAATTGCCAAAAGTGGCCAACCAGATGTCTGTGGAATGCATTAAGGAAACCCCTCAAATCTCCCATTCATGGCTCTCTGCATCAGAGGCATGCTCGTGATTCTCAACAACTGGTATTCAGAGGCCTGCTTCCTCTGATCCTGAAGGTAGCATATAGAACATGAGAGCCCTGCAGATTAGATCAAAGGCCCATCTGCTCCAGCATCCTGTTCTCACAGTGGCCAACCAGATGCCTATATTGGAAACCAAAAAGCAGGACATGCATACAGTTCTCTCCCCACGTGTGATTCCCTACAGCTGGCACTGAGAAGGATGCTCCATCAAATCTTGGAGGCAGTACACAGCCTTCAGGACTACGAGCCATTGAGAACATAAGAAAAGATGGCTGGATCAGGCCAATGGCCCATCTAGTCCAGCATCCAGTTCTCACAGTGGCCACAATTGGAAGCCCTCAATCAGAACCTGAGCACAAGAATACTCTCTCCTCCTATGGTTTCCAGCTGAATCGTGTTTAGTAGCCATTAATAGCCTTTTCCTCTATTAATTTGTTCAACCGATTTTAAAAGCCATCGAAATCAGTGGCCGCCATTCCATCCAGTGGGAATGAGTTCCATAGTTCAACAATCCTCTTATCTGCCCCGAATCTTCTAACATTCAGCTTAGATCTGTATAACAGCACAATGACACTGGCATTTTATTTCCAGTTCCTTCCGTGGTGATCCCTAGGGTTGGTTTGCCTTTTTCATGACCAACAAACTGGGCCAACATCTTTATTGAGCTTTCTAATATGACACCAAGAACTCACCCTGGTCTGATCTTCTTCTTTGGCGATCATTTGTGGCTGAATAAAATTCCCTTCCATGAACACGGTTTTAACAGTGAGTTTGTAAGTGACCGTGGAAGTAAATTCTGGATCCACACGTCCTTCTGCAGTGGGGACATAGGATTCCAGGTGGGAGTTGATCAGTGAGGATTTGTTGAATGTGCCTTCCTCTCATCCCTTACATCCTGCGTTTGAGCATCTTCAAAGTCCATGACACCTTTGGTAAAGGCTGTTCTCCAATTGGAGCGCTCACAGGCAGTGTTTCTCAGTCGTTTTTTAAAGATTTGCCTTGAGAATCTTTAAACCTCTTTTGTTGACCACCAGCATTACGCTCTCCACTTTTAGGTTTGGAATACAGTAGTTGCTTTGGAAGACGATAATCAAGCATCCAAACAACATGACCAGTCCAACGAAGTTGATGTTGAAGAATTGTTGCTTCGACACTAGTAATCTTTGCTTCTTCCAGTACACTGGCATTAGTTCACCCGTCTTCCCAAGTTACCGGTATGTGTAAAAATTTTCGGAGACACCGTTGATGGAATCTTTCAAGGAGTTGGAGATGGCATTTATAAGTGGTCCATGTTCAGACCCTAGGAGTATGTACATGCAATGAAGATTTTTTTTGCCCCAACATGCATAACTCTTTACACTTGTTGACACTGAATTGCACTTTCCATTTTACCACCCATTCACTCAGTTTGGAGAGTTCTTTCTTTCTTTCTTTCTTTCTTTCTTTCTTTCTTTTAACCAGAACTGCACACAGCCTTCTGGAAGTCAAAGGCTCCTGGAATATCAACAAGACGTCATCCTCAGATGCATTTGTTTCAGCACTTCAGCTGAAATATAAAGGATGCTTCGAAGCTGGAAATGATTCAGGAGGAAGCAACTAGGGTAATAATAATAAAAAAAGGTTATAATCACATGTGGAGACAGTTGAAAGGGAGGCTCTTAAACTCTGAGGAAATATTAAGAGGGGTCTATCCTGACAGTTTTCAGATTTTTCAAAGGATGTCAAAGGGGAGAGGGGATGGTTCTTCCCTCTGCTGTTCACCTGATGTTAGGAAGTAGAATCATACAATTGTAGAGTTGGAAGGGACTCGAGGGTCATCTAGTCCAACCCCAGGTGAGCTCCCCCATTGGTCTGGAGGAATGCTGCAGGTAGCACACTTCCCCTGTGTGCCCTCTTTAACAGGCCAGCTGCAGCCAGCTGCAACTGAAATTTTTATCACTTTTTAATTTTATTTGCTTATTTATTAAAACACAACCCGTTTTTATGTCATACATACATGCATATGGGATTTTTGATAAAGAAAAAGAAGAAAGGGTGTGACTGACATGACCAGCTGCCGCATAATTCCTGTTCTGCACTTGTAAGAACTCAAACTTTTAGTGTGGCGGCACCTACACTTTGGAACTCCCTGCCTCTTGACATCAGGCAGCTGCCTTCTATGTACTCTTTTTGACATTTGCTGAAAACCTTTTTGCTCAGACAAGCTGACTCAGATGTTTAGCATGCTGATGCAAGTTTTTAGCTCATTGTTACATTAACTTTGTGAAAGGTTCAGATTATTGATATTGATTTTTCCTATTGATATTTTAAAAATATTTTTGTAAACTGATTTGAGGGCTTGTTTTACAATCAAGCAGTACATGAATTTAATGAAATAAAATAAAAAATACAAGTTTTTCATTTTTAAGCAAAAATAAAGGAGACTGTCATTTATCAAATGTATTAAATAATGTTTTTAAATGACTGAACTTTCAGTTAAACATAGTGGGTTTCATTCACATTTAGACGTAGTTGAAAATCATCTACATGTAATTCCCTGCCTCTTGTTTTACACTGATTTGATTCAGAATTGAGCCCCTCCAAATCCCCCCTCAATTTATCGATTTGCACCAAAATAAATTGGGGAGAGGGGTCACTTTGGTGACTCTTAGGGGGAAGGACTGTCCAAACCATCCCAGCAGTTTTGCTTAACCTCAGAACCAGCTGCCACAGCAGTGTGGAACATCTGGACTGGGAGATGACTGAGTGGCCCTCCAGAGTCTTCTTTCTGGCTCTTGAAATCTCCCCAGGTCTTGCTCAAAAACTAAGACACACCAAAAATGCAAATAACATTTTTAACTTTCTTAATCTGCTGACTCACTTCCTATACTTTGTGATCTCGTATTTTATATAAGAATAGCAGGGACTAGAAACTTGCTTGAAAGATGGATGATTATTCCCACGATTGCACCGTGGCAACCCTGGGCAAGATTCCCTTTAAGGACTCTGGTGGGGGCAGGGAGAGCTGAATCTACATCCTCCAGACACCACATCCTGAGTCAATCAAAACAAAAAATTAAAATCCTGGGCACATCTGGAGCCCTGGCCTTGATGCTCTGCTAACTGAGCAGCAGGAAAAGGAAATTGCTTTGGGAGCGACTGATGATGCAACCGTGGGTTAGAAAGGGTGGGGTGGAGCAGGTCAGAAGGGAGAGGTTGAATGCCAATACCAAGCGGGAAAGAACAAAGGGAAGCTGTCCCAGAATGATGTTGTCTATCATCCAGAGAGGGAAGGGTTTAAAACAGCTGGCATCATGCAGGGAGAATTTCTTTGCCTGAGCCAGAACTAAACAAGGGGCAGGTCCCAGACCTGCTGCCCTTGTGGACGCTATAATCATAGAATTGTAGAGTTAGAAGGGAGCCCAAGGGTCAACTAGTCCAACCCACTACAGTGCAGGAATCATAGTTTTAAAATTGCCAACAGATGGCCATCCAACCTCTGTTTAGAAACCTCCAGTGAAAGAGACTCCACCACCTTCCAAGGGAGCCGGTTCCACTGTTAAATGGCTCTTACTGTCAGAAAGTTCTTCCTAAAGGCAGTGACTCTAAAAGGCTGTGGCGTGTCACACTGGTGTGCCAGGAGAGGATGGCAAGCGTGGTAGGAAGATTCAAGGACAATCAAAGAAACATTTTGGTACTATACTACACTGAAATGTTTTTTTGTTTGTTTGTTTGTTTGTGCCCAGGATTTAGCAGAATATGGTTAGATACCTTTTCCAAATCAAGCACCGCTAGTTGCTTATTTTTGTTTTTCATTGTATTTCTTTTCAATAAAAAATATGGTGTGGTGCAAGCAAATTTTTGTTCTGAAAGTGCGGCACAGAGTAAAAAAAGCTTTTGAACCACTGTCCTAAGGTATAGTCAGAATCTCTTTTCTTGTCATTTGAATCCACTAGTTAATCTCAGGGTTATGGGTTCGAACCCCCACTTTGTGCAAAAGATCCCAGCATTGCAGGGGGTTAGACTAGTTGACCCTCGTTGGGCCCTCCCTACTGTACAAGTCTATGAAAAGAGTCCTTCAAACAGCAGAAACCAAGTCTGCTCCATATTCCATGTAACTAGGCTCAGAACAAGTCCTATAGGGTATCCTAATGCATATGCATGATAAATATAAATAAATATTTAAGGGACAAAATAAACATTGTGTAGGAGATGCATTTGACAAATTAATTTCTTTATTTGAAAATGTATTCAGGGACCACCTTCCTGCCCACAGGGGCCCTGAAGCAATATAATGCAATATAAAAGTAGTCAGAGGACATTCTCAGTCCCACCTGGAGATGCCAATGGGCGGCTGAACCTGGGACCTTCTGCATGAAAAGCAGGTGCTCTAAAACTGAGCTATGATGGCTCTTCCCAGCAACATAGGTAGTTGTCAGATAACTGGTACAATTAGCTCAGTATTGCTTGAACTGACCGGCAGTGGCTCTCCAGGGTTTCAGACGGGGATGTTCCCAACCCTACCTGGAGATGTGGGGAAGATGATGATATTTACTTATTTATGCCCCACTTTTCCCCCTGACCAGACTCAAGGTGGCTTACAGATGAAAACAAGAACTGCTAAACACATAGAAGGATCAATCATTAAAATACAATTAAACATGGGTAGAATTAAAACTATATACATATATAGAATCTGTTTAAAAACATACTGTTGTGAGTTGCAGGGCAGGGGAGTGGGGAGGAGGAAGTACCCTGTATGAGAGACCCTTCCAACCCCTGGAACCAGCAAGTGTTAAAATATGAGCCAGGTTAGTGTTGAGGCGATTGCCTGGTTATGAGCCATTAAGAGAACAAAGGAAGGAGGGTTCTGTGCAAGATGACAAATGGGTGGGGCTTCTCACTCAATTTGGAGATAGTTAGAAGGACAAAGCCTGAATTTAGAGCTGAGTTGCAGTGATGTGACCTAGAAATAAAACAGCAAGCTGGAGAGCCAGAGAGCAATGTTTGATGTCTGTTTGAATCTAAGACTGCAGCTATGGGAGAAACAAGACCTGCTTGGCATGTTAATGGTGTGAACCCCTCCATCATAGGCTAAACCGTAAATCATAAAGACACCACAGTCTCTTCTGTGCCTCATTCCAAAAGCAAAAACAAGCCCTGGCTAGCACCTGCAGCACCTAGAGTGGATTGAACCTGGGACCTTCTACATGCAAAGCAGATGCTCTACCACTGAGCTGCAGCCGTTGATTTCCCAGAACACTGTGCCTCTGATTGAAATCAGCTGCTTTTAGGTTGACCAACAACACTGGAAACCTGTGATCTTCCATATCACACAATGGTTTAGGCACAACATGATTGACGGAACAGCAAACAACATGGATTTATTTTTGTTGTTGCTTGTTTTGACATTTCTTTTTGTAAGACAACTGTGATTCGATTTCAAAGCATACTTTGGGAGCCAAGATGCCTCTTCCTAGAAAGCCAAAGACAGAGAGGACTCTCACGATGGCAACACCTGGGATTTAGGCGTGCAGGAGAGGCTTCTAGTAGAATGCAAAGCACATGGAGCAGGTCTTGCCTGCTTCTCCAAATTGAGGCCATGCTGTGAGTATGCAAGATTGCTTTTAATTTGTACATATCCCAAAAACAGCAGAAAGGGAGGGAGGGAGGCAGGGAGAGAGTATGGTCCTTTAGGGGAAAGCAGTGTCAAATCTCACTTCCTTTTCCAGATAGTTTTAGGAATCTTTGCTCCCCTGCTCTCAGTTGCCTTCATTTGGTCATTCCCTCACTGTGAGGTTACAGGGAACCAGGCAAAGGGGCCTTTTTGGTAGTTTCGACCGCCCTGTAGATGCCCTCCTGTCAGATGTCAAGGAAATAAACAACCATTTGGCTTTTACAAGCCATTTGAAGGCAGCCCTGTATAGGGAAATTTTTAATTTTTGGTGTTTTAAATATTTTGTTGGGAGCCACCCAGAGTGACTGGGGCAACCTACTCAGATGGGAATAATAATAATAATAATAATAATAATAATAATAATAATTCATTGAAATCATCCTGTAACTCAGTCTGATAGGCCATGTAGTACCTGTCCCACCATCATGTTTGCTGCGTGATCCCTGATTTGCTGAAATCACCCCATGGTGTCATGGACTGGCTGCATGCAGATAAGTGGTGGGAGGCACCAGCAAGGGAAACCCCAAGGGAACTCCCAGGGGAAGAATGCTTGGAGCCCAAGGGCTGATGGTGGGATGACAATGAGTGGAGAAGAGGAGGCAGACTGGGAGGATGAGATATTGGAAGTTGAGGAGGTGAAAGGGTTTAGTGAGCAGGAAGAGGCTGTGGCAGAGAGCAGTCCAGAGGAAGGAGGGAAAGGGAGCCAGGAGACAGAGGTGGGGCAGGCTGCTGAAGAAGCCAGGGAGTCTCCCCCTCCTGCTGCAACCTGGTCCCCTCCTTCTGTTCTCCCAGAACACACAGAGAAATAAAGAGGGTGGAGCAACGAGAGGGAAGAAGACAAAGCCTTGGGTTGCTGGGGGAGGAGCCTTAGACGGCGTGGAAACGTGGGGATCTTCAGTCCTCACAACTGCCTCATTGGGGCAAGACCTACTGGGAAGAGTTGCTGCGATCACTAGGCCTGCAACATTTTGGTTTCTTAAGAGTTTCCCAGACATTCAGCTGACACTGCTTTTGGATACAGTATTCCGTATACGTCTGGGAAATTCCAGATGTATGGCAACCCTAGGTTTCTATGAATAAAGAGTTAACTTCACTGACACTGGGTGTTTTAATGCTGACCTGCTCCTGACTCCAGCTCCCGACACATGGCCACATTCACACAGCATTACGATACTACTGTCAACAGTCATGGCTTCTGCCAAATAATGCAGGGATCTATAGTTTGCTAAGGTTATTGAGAGTAGTTAGGAGACATCCCCCCACATCCCCCAAGTCCTCCCAGAGCCATAGTTCACTGTGAAGAGGAATTGACTGTTTAACCACTCTGGGAATTGTAGTTCTGGGAGGGAAACAGGGCCCCCCTAACAACTCTCAGCACTCTTAACAAACTGCACTTCCCAGGATACTTTGTGGGAAGCCATGACTTCAAAGTGGGGCTTTAAATGCATGGTGTGGCTATGGCCTAAGATCCTGCTATTTCAGTTTGCTGCCAAGGATTCCTGTGGCTGTTGGAGGGAGGTTGTTTTGGTGGGATACTGCAGTCATACATAACTATACACAACTGCTACTTAGTGCATGAAGGGGTTAAAGACCACAAAGTTGTTGCCACAACAGCAGCAAGAATACTCATTGCAAAGTATTGGAAGACACAAGATCTACCCACTCTGGAAGAATGGCAGATGAAGGTGATTGACTATATGGAACTGGCGGAAATGACTGGCAGAATCCGAGACCAGGGAGAAGAGTTGGTGGAAGAAGATTGGAAGAAATTTAAAGACTATTTACAGAAATATTGTAAAATTAATGAATGTTAGAATGATGTTGGATAGAAATTAAGTGGTTTTTAGCTGCAATACTATAAGGGAATATGAAAAATGGATTACTAACAGGTAAAAATTTAATGTTACAATATTTTAAGATTAAAGATTAGGATAAACAAAGAGGGGAAGGATTTGCTGAACCAACAAACTGAACTGGAATACAAAAAAGGGAGGCGTGAGGAGGTCCGGGAAACAAGCTAATGAAAAATTAGTAATGGAAAGATTGAGTTGTTTTTAACTATTTTTATTTTGTATTTTTCTTTTTTCTATTTTTATTTTGTAATATTTTGAAAACCTTAATAAATATCTTATTAAAAAAATAATAAAGACCACAAAGTTGTATTGCTAGATAGAGTCAGTTCGGTCATGCCCCCACTGATTTATTCTGTTTTCAATGGCATAATGTATTTATCTGGATTTTTTAATGTGTTGTCAAATTGCTTAGAGACCTTTGGGTAACAAGTGACTAACAAGCAATAATAATAATAATAATAATATCGTATAGGACTTTTCAAAGATAAGAATGTACAGCAGAATGGGGATGGAGCAACTCCCCTATGAAGAAAGATTGCAGCTTTTGGGACTTCTTAGTTTAAAGAAAAGGCAAGTAAGAAGCAATATGACAGAAATTCATAAAATGATGGATGGTGTAGAAAGAATAGATAACACCAGAACCTGTGGTCATCTGGTGAAACTGAATGCTAGAAGATTCAGGACAGAGAAAAGAAAGGACTTGTTCACACAGCACAGAGTTAAACTATGGAACTCACTCCCACAGGAGGCAGTAATGACCACCAACATGGGTAGCTTTAAAAGAAGATAGGACAAAATCATGGAAGAGAAGGCTATCCATGCTCCTGGACACAATGGCTCTGCTCTGCCTTCACAGTTGGAGGCAGCCATGCTTCTGAATGCCACTTGCTGGAAGCCATGGGAGAGGAGAGAGCTCTTGTGCTCAGGTCCTGCTTTTGGGCTTCCCATTGGGGCATCTGGGTGGCCACTGTGAGAACAGGATGCTGGCCTAGATGGGCCATTGGCCTGATCCAGCCAGGCTCTTACATTGGAAGAAATGTTTAATGCATAGAATCACACGCCTCTCACGAATGCTTTGCAATGGGAAATTAAATCATGCACCCTCTTAGAATGAAATTCTAAAGCCTCCTGAAAGAGAGAGAGAGAGAGAGAGAGAGAGAGAGAGAGAGAGAGAGATGGGAGCCTTCTTCAAACAGGTGAATAAAACTTTCCAGACAGCAGCAGCTACAAAAGATTTCCTCCACCCAGTCTCTAGCAATGAGGAATGGGGGCACCGTCTCAGACGCTTCTGCATCAGGAACCCGTAAGTGATTCATGAGTCACGAAAGCTTATGCCCTCTGGTTATGGAAATTGGAAAGTGACCTCCCGACACCTAGGGGGAGAGGGAGAAGTTCTTGATACAAGAGCGTTCACCTCAGGCTGCTGCTGCCGCCTGCTCCACCCTCCACTTTGCAACCAGAGCATCCTGTCAAAATGAATCAGAATCACCTAAGACATGCAGAACTACATGATGTCCTTTTCAGAATTGCCCTGGCATGTTTGCCTATGGAACATCTGTTCCTGCATACCGAATGCCTTATTGTTTGTGTTCGCTGCCATTAGCTCAGGTGGAATTAAAGACTCCCCATCTTCTTTACAGCTGGTCCCATCTTAAGGTTGTTCTCATTCTCAGAAGACAGCAGGAGGATAAGGTTCTCTTTGCTTTGGGATCTGCCTCTTAGTGACTATTGGGTCCAGCCCTACCTGAGGAGCATAAGCACATAAGAAGAGCCCCATGGGATCAAGTCAGTGTTCCTTCTGGTCAACCATCCTGGCTTCTCACAGTGATTCCTGGCAACTGGTATTCAGAGGTGTACTGACTCCAACAGTGAAGGTAAAATATAAGAACAGCCCTGCTAGATCAGGCTGGTGGTCCATAAAGTCCAGCTCCTTGTTTTCACCATGGCCAACAAGATGCCCCAATGGGAATCTTGCAAGCAGGTCCTGAGCAGGAGAGCCCTCTCCCTTCACACAGTTCCCAGCAACTGGTATTCAGAAACATTGCTGCCCCTGATTGTGGAGGCGGAGCATAGCCATTGATAGCCTCATCCTCCTTTGTGAATTCCTCCAAAATCCTCTTTCAAAGCCTTTGGAAAGTTGGTGACTTTCCAAAGGAGGCACCTGGTTGGCCGCTATGAGAACAGGATCCTGGACTAGATGGGCCCCCTTTGGCCTGATCCAGCACCCAGGCTCTTTCTATGTTCTTACACCACCTCCTGGGACTGGCCCCCTGGCCCCTGAGGTCATGCTCTGGAGCTGCATTCTTCACTGAGAAAAGGGTTGGGCTTGATGCCTTTCCAGCCCTGCTTCTGACGCTGCACTGATTGCATTACTTTGTTGCACGATGTTTGGGGTGAGGGAAGGGGGTTTGCAATGGCGCCTTCCAGCAGATGCAGAAACCTTGCTAAATTACATCCTGATTGTAATCCCCTCCTGCAGATGCTCACCACCTTCCTTTTCGCCCCACAAAGCAGGCCGACAGGACTTTCGACAGACAGCATCCAATGAGAGCACGTCGGCAGTTATGGGAAGTGATTATGTTTCTCCGACGTGTGTTTTCAAATGAAGCAGATGCTGGATCCTCCCTGCTTGCCAACATCTCTCTGTTTTTAACTGCTCCTCGGGGAGCCTTCCCTTCCCTTATTACCTTTGAAAGTAGGAGTGTGGCGTCAGTGTTCAAGGAGAGAGAGAGACTGCCTGTTTCCATCCCTCTCTCCTTCTCTCGTCAGTCCTGCACAGTCTTCTCCATTCCTCACTATAGAGCCACATTTCAGTGGCAGTGATTTCTACTTTATACAAGGTTCAATCCCAGCAGCATCTCCAGGTAAGGTTGGGAATAATCCCTGTCTGAAACACTGGAGAATTGCTGCCAGACAGTGTAGACAATACTGAACTAGGTAGATCAATGTTCTGACTCAGTATAAGGCATCTCTCTGTATTCTTATTTAATTCAGCCCTTTATTCAAAACAGGACTAGAATCTTAAGGCTTCTTGGGGAGAAGGGACGTAGACCAATAGCAGATCACTTGATTTGCAAGCGGTGTGGGATAACCAGCCTCATATAACCTACATCAGGGTGGTCCAACGCGTGGTCCAAGGGCCACATGCAGACCTCTAGGCCTTTTTCGGAGGCCTTCAGCAACATTTGTCGCCCTCCCCTGCTGCTCTCGCCCTGCCTTTCCAAAACCAGGTAAGCGAGGTGCTGAGCTTTGGGAAGGCAGTGTGTGGGCTTGCTGTTCGCAAGCGAAGAGGCCATAGAGTCAGAGGATATATCTGAACAGAAGAAAAGGTGAAACAGCTTGAGGTATCCCCACCACAGCTTGAGGTATCCTGGGGAGTTCCAACATCACAGGAGATCTCAATGACAGCTACTCTCTTGCATTACAATTTTATTTATTTAAAATTTATACACTGCTTGTTTTTTGTTTTTTTTTAAAGCACTGTAGTATGTATAGAAGAGACTTAATATTTGGCTGGTAGAATAGTTATTTTTTACTGTATTGCTTGATCTACTTCAATAAAAACAGTTGAGAACAACTATTTAAAAACATTCCAAAAAATAAAATGAAAATGAAAACAGCAACAAACTAAAAACAGATTTAAACACACATCAACATTCTGCATGTCTGGGCAGGCTTGTCTAAACAAAAAATGTTTTTAGCAGGCATCAAAGAAAGTACAGCGAAGGTGCCTGCCTGTTGTCACTAGGCAGCGAGTTCCAAAGTGCCACCATAGTAAAAGATTAAATTCTTACAGATGCAGCGTGGGCATTATGTAGCAGCTGTGAAAGGGCCAGTTCTGCGGACTGAAGCAGTTGAGTGAGAGTATATGGGGCAAGGGGATCTCACAGGTAAACTGGTCCCAAGTTGTTAAGGGCTTTATAAATTAATAGCAACACAGTCTTCAGACTCTGAGGACTCCAGCTTAGAGGACATAGCAGACCCCATACCTTTCAACATTTCTGCATTGAAAATGGGGATGTCCTATTCAATAATAATAGCATATATAAATACATAGTAAAACATTAAACATTTTTAAAAATGTTTCCCTATACAGGGCTGCCTTTCGATGGCTTGGGGGTCAGATAACTCCACACTCTCCGATGAAAATAGTGACATCCTACCATACCCTCCTACATTTCCCCAATGAAAAATAGGGATGCGCTAAGGAAAAGCGGGGCATTCCAGGGTCAAATCAGAAACCAGGATGGCTTCTTTAAATCCAGGACTGTCCCTGTAAAATAGGGACACTCAGAGGGTTTGGCAGCCTCCCCCAGGCCCCCAAGAGTCCACAGTTCCTACAAAAGAGGCTAAGATCCTTTGAGGGCATAGGCACTGTGCATCAGGCACAGGGCTAGGTGCTGAAAGGAAGCTGCAGTCCTATTTATCCTATGCCCCAATCAGTCTTGCCTGACCTCTAGCCTAGGCTCCAATGCTGATCCGCCGTGCTTCTTTACATTCGGGATTCTGCCTTCTTTTGATCTAGGCATAACCCTCAGTTGTGCCTCCCTTTGCTTTGATGGAACCTGACCTATGCTTGGCCTGGCTCTGCTTCTTGGATTTGGAACTATGGCTATTGTGTTATGTGATTTGGTCTTTCTGTGCCTGCAGCAAGTGGACACTTGAGCTGTTAGGAAGATATCGCTTTCTGAGGCTAAGAGCTGGTCAACAGTGGAACGGACTCCCTAGGAAGATGGTGGACTATCCTTCCTGGGAGGCTTTTAAGCAGAGGTAGAAGGGCCAACTGTCCTTAGCTGTGAGTCTATAGCATTACATTACAGGGTGCTCAGTCTACAGCATTACTGAGGTAGATGGCCCATGGGGCCTCTTCTAACAATTCCATGATTCTATGAAACAGCCCCTGTTTCCATCCAGCGATCTTTATGTATTTGCTTTTGCTTCCTCTTATGCCCAGGCTTCCTTTCTACTCTTATTTATTCGTTTGTTGCATTTTTCTGAGCTGCCCCATAACCAGTGTTACATGGTCATCTCCACCACTTTCCAAAGAGGGGAAAAATGTTCCTCAACTTGGCATCTCCTGTGGAAAATGTTAGACATCTGATCAGAATCAACACACGCTTTTCGGAGGAGAGTGTCTGCCAGCTGGTCGAGGCCAAGCAGAGACAATTAAAACAGCTTTTTGTAATGTACAATCTCCACCACCTCCCTCCCGAAAATATTAAAAGACCAAAAAAAAAGTGTTTTCCAATAAGGCCAAACAGCTGCTCCTTGTGAGTCGAGGACCTGGAAATTTTATTATCATTATTTTATTTGTTAACTTTATATATTAATTTATTACATACACACACACACACACACACACACACACACTTCATCTGAGGATCCCAGGGTGACTTACAGTTAAAAACTCAAAAATACATAACTTAATAAAAAAAACCTAAGCAGATCAATGAGAAATAACATCATGGAGAGGCTGTGTGGTGGAGCAGAAGGATTTGATGGGGGAGGATATCCATACTCATGGACAGCACATCTGCTGGGCATGCAGAAGTTTCCCAATGGCATTTCCAGGTAGGGCTGAGAGAGACCCCAGTCTGAGACCTTGTGGAGCTACTGCTGCCTGTCAACGTAGAACATTGGTCTTCTGTGTTATTATTTCGCTTATAGAAAACAATGAGGACTAGAATCTTACATTGGTTTTTTTGGCAAAGAGCTATAGTTCTGTGGAAGAGCATCTGCTTTTATACGGAAAGCCCAAGGTTCAACCTGCAACATCTCCAGGTAGGGCTGGAAATGTTCCTTGCCTGAAACCCTAGAGATTGTTGAGCCAGATGAAGCAACATTTTGGCTCATTAGGCAGATTTCCAGATCCCCTCCTACCTCCAATGTCAGAGGCAGAACAATAATGACTACAATGTTTAGTTGAAGCGGATATAGCTCAGTGGCATATCATCTACTTTGCATGAAGAAGACCCCAGGTTCCCAGAGCACTTCCAGGTAGGGCTGGGAATGTCCCCTGCCTGAAACCCTAGAAAGTCCCTGCCAGTCATTGTTGACAGTACTGGATTCACCAATGGAAATTATAGAATAGTAGAGTTGTGGAGTTGGAGGGGACCCTGGGGATCATCTAGTCCAGTCCCCTGCAATGCAGAAACTTGCAACCTTGGCATTATCAGCACCACACTCTAACCAGCTGAGCTATCCAGGCTCAGTGCACTTACTTTGGTACAATCACACAAAGATTCTTTAGTTGTGCTTCCTGCATTGCAGGAGGTTGGACTAGATGACACTTGGGATCCCTGCCAACTCTACAATTCTATTTGCTTAAGCTGTACAATTGGGCTAGTCTGCAAGTCCAGGTATGCTGTTTCCGTCCCACAAATTGGCAGAATGGGTCAATGGGTCTTCTCGATTGAAAACTCCTTAGCAGACTTGTTTTGTACAAAACAACAACCACCTCCCTCCCAGAGCAGCTTCTACATTCCCACACGAAATGTCACAATGCGAGATGCAAAGCTGATTGCAGACTTGCATTTGAGGCAGTGAAAAGAAAGTCAGGTGGTTGGATGTGGGGAGGGAAATGATCTCCCACTCACCAGCCACCCCCTGCCACAACTTGGAGGTGTGTCGTTGAGATTAGAAGGCCTTTCGCTCCAGGCCACACACATCAAAACCCTGCCTTCATTTGCCTGACACTGTACCTTCTGCCAGGGGTGGAATATGATTAAGTTGGAACGTGTTTTTCCCATGTTTTTCCCCACCTCTGAAAAAGAGCAAAGGCAGCAGAAGACCTGGGCACCCTGCCCCTGGCTGCATCTTTGAACGCTTTGCTGTTGATTGATGGAAGAGCTGGGTCCCCTTCATTTGCCAAGTCAAACCCACCTTCCAGTCCCTGCTGGTATTTACCAGTAAAGGTAAAGGTAAAGGGACCCCTGACCGTTAGGTCCAGTCGCGGACGATTCTGGGGTTGCGGTGCTCATCTCGCTTTACTGGCCGAGGGAGCCGGCGTACTGCTTCCGGGTCATGTGGCCAGCATGACTAAGCCACTTCTGGCGAACCAGAGCAGCGCACAGAAACGCTGTTCACCTTCTCGCCAGAGTGGTACCTACTGTATTTTTCGCCCTATAGGATGCACTTTTTCCCCTCCAAAAATGAAGGGGAAATGTGTGTGCATCCTATGGTGCGCACCGACCCCTCTTGCTCTCCAGGCTTCAGGCAGCTCTGCGCAACCCTCGGGAGACCGGCGCGACTTCATGCCGGGCTCCCGAGAGCTGCGCAGAGCTGCCTGCAGTCGCGGGTTTTGCGCAGCTCTGCGCAGCCCTAGGGAGCCTGGCACGAAGTTGCACCAGGCTCCCGAGAGCTGCGCAGAGCTGCCTGCATTCCGAAGCCTGGGGCGCGCTGAAGAGCACGCCCGGGCTTCGCGCAGCTCTCCACAAGCCTGGGGAGACCGGCGTGACTTCCCGCCGGGCTCCCTAGGCTTGCGGATAGCAGGCTGTTCTCGGGGCTGGGGTCGGGGGAAGCTCGGGCTTCCCCCGCGCCAACCCCGTGCCTGGGGGGGGGGGGATATTTTTTCTTTATTCCCCCCCCCAAAAAACTAGGTGCGTCCTATGGGGCGAAAAATACGGTATTTATCTACTTGCACTTTGAAGTGCTTTCGAACTGCTAGGTGGGCAGGAGCAGGGACTGAACAACGGGAGCTCACCCCGTTGCGGGGATTCGAACCACCAACCTTCTGATTGGCAAGTCCTAGGCTCTGTGGTTTAGACCACAGTGCCACCCGCGTCCCTCTTTTACCGGTACTTATTTTAAAAAAACACAATTCACTTTTCATTGTAAACCATCCCAAGGTGTTGTACGATAAAAGGCAGCTTGGAACGACCTCAATCATAAGGAAATAAGAAGTACTTGCTGGATCATTCTCAGAGTAGGCAGCCGGATGCCCCAATAGGAAGCCCACAAGGAGGAGCCAAGTGCAAGAGCCCTCTCCTTTCCCGTGGTTTCCAGCTACTGGTATTCAGAAGCATTTACTGTCTTTGACTGTGGAGGCAAAGCGTAGCCACTGTGGCTGGTAACCATTTATAGACCTCTCCTCCATGAATCTCTCCAGTGTCTTCTTAAAAATCATCCCAATTGGTGGCCATCACTGCCTCCTTTGGGAGTGAGTTCCACAGTTTAACTATACATTGCATGGAGTAGGACTTTATCCACCGGCAATCTTCCAACATTCAGCTGCATTGAATGTCCGTGAGTTCTATTGTTGGGAGTGAGAGAGGAATTCCCTTCTCTATCCACTTTCTACATACCTGGCAGAATTTTATAAATTTCTAACATGTTGTCTTGTCCTCTCTCCAATGCCCCCCCCCCCACCGCAAGTCCCAAACTCTGCAAGATTTGTGCAGTTGCTCCATCCCCTTGATCATTTTGATTACCCTTTTCTAACTCTACAATATCCTTTTTGAGGTGAGGTCACCAGACATTTACACAGTTAATAAACAAATAGCTAATAATTGGGGGGGGGGATGTTTAGGCAAGCGTACCCAGATATGTAATTTGATTTCATAATGAACATTTTTAACTGCTGATTTTATTTTTGTTTTTATCCTTCTTTTTAGACCAGGTTGCTTTTGGTTACTGGAAAGAAAACCATGGTGCCCATCAGATGTAGATATTGCATTTCAGCAGCCTTAACAAACTATAGTTCCCAGGATTCTTTGTGGGAATCCATGGCTGTTTAAAGTGGCATGGCACTGCTTCAAATGTATAGTGCGGATTGTTCGAGAGGGGCAAATTGGGTCAGTTCACTTAAAAATGGGAACCAGGTGAAATTCTTCCCAAGCCTAGCCTAGCGAGAGATGTTCTGCCTCGCAGGTTGCATCAGAACAATCTAACGAATCTGCCAGCTCTCTCTTTCCCTGCCTCTAGATCATAATGCTTTTTGTCATGCTCTCCACTAGCAGATAAAAAACGTCAGCCAACTGTACTTATCAGCTCTTTATAGGATCAAGCCCTCACTCGCACTGCAGGAAACCCCCCCCCCCCCAGTTTATTAATTTGGTTTGCGACAATCTGCTCTCCATGTGTTTGACTGGAGATGGCTTTGTTATTCTGGCAAGCCTGTTGACAACTGCAGTGCATTGAAGCCACAACCCCCCACCCCTTTAGCTGCTATTTTTTTCCTGGATCCCAGTCTTCTGTTCAAACTTCCGGAGAACAGGATGCCACACTGAGATACAGTCAGGAATGTCCAGCGTGTGTTTTTAATCCATAAACGGTTTTTTTGAGTTGGGAAATGTAAACCAAACAGGGTGTTATCCAGTGTTGGTCCTACTAATATCAGTAGACCCACTGAAATTGATAATACATTTCTAACCTAGCTGCAATTATTTCAGTAGGCGTGTTTATTGCCTTGCAGGCGATTGCGTCATATAGGCATTTGCAAAAATTCTCTCTGGGAATAATATATTATATCCCAACAAAGTTTTACTCAGGAGTATATCCACTGAAATTAATGGACCTAAGGTAGTTGTGTCCATTAATTCTGTATCACACCAAGTAGAAGCAAGGAGCCCCACTTCAGATGGTGGTCTTTGAATGCACAAAGGGCTACGGGGATAGGAGGTGGAGCAAGCACACTTGTCTCCATACACACCCTTTTGTGTGTGGAATTTCCTGTTTATGATGATAGAAATTGTGCTGCAATTGGGAAGAACAGTCGCTAATAGATAAAAGATGGTGTAAACTAGGGCTGTGCTCTTGCACACGCAGAGCTCAGTGGCAGAACATCTGCTTGGCATGCAGAAGGTCCCGGCTTCAACCCCCTATGGCATCTCCCGTAGGGCTGGGAATGTCCCCTCCTTGAAACTGCAGAGAGGTATTTCCAAGGAGCGTAGACAGCACTGAGTTAGATGGACCAGTGGTCTGACTCAGTAGAAGACAGCTTTCCTTTGTTCCTATTGATGTCAGCCCTATATTTAGAACTGTGGAGACTAGAGACAGTAATGCTTCCGAATCCTAGTTGCTGGAAGCCATAGGAGAGGATAGTGCTCTTGTGCTCAGATCCTGCTTGCTGGTTTCCCATAATAGGCATTTGGGTGACTATGGGGAAAACAGGATGCTGGACTAAAGGTAAAGGGACCCCTGACCATTAGGTCCAGTCCTGGCCGACTCTGGGGTTGTGGCGCTCATCTCGCTTTATTGGCTGAGGGAGCCGGCGTACATGTGGCCGGCATGTGGGTCATGTGGCCAGCATGACTAAGCCGCTTCTGGCGAACCAGAGCAGTGCACGGAAACACCGTTTCCCTTCCCGCCAGAGCGGTACCTACTTATCTACTTGCACTTTGACGTGCTTTCGAACTGCTGGATGGGCAGGAGCAGGGATTGAGCAATGGGAGCTCACCCTGTCACGGGGATTCGAACCGCTGACCTTCTGATCGGCAAGTCCTAGGCTCTGTGGTTTAACCCACAGCGCCACCCACGTCCCTGGTTTCCCATAATAGGCATTTGGGTGACTATGGTGAAAACAGGATGCTGGACTAGACAGCCCATTAGCCTGACCCAGCAGAGCTTTTGCTATGGAGGCCTATTGTGACAGCAGAACCTTCATGGTCAAGGTCAGCCCACCTTTGAATACCAGATAATGGGGAACAAAAAACGGAGAATATTTTGTGTGTGCTCGTGTCCTGCTTGTGGGTTTCCCATTTGGGGCATCTGGTTGGCCACTGTGAAAACAGGATGCTTGTCTTAGATGGGCTAGCAGGCTCTCCTTCGTTTCTGTCTTCCTCGTCTGCTCCCTCCCCCCCCCCCCCCGGTATAACTTCTTAGTTGGAGAGCAACTTAGGCTCAGCTTGAGCCATACTGTTCCTGGATGAGATGTTTTGCTGGAAAGAAGTGGGTCTCTTCTGGCAAATTTTGGAGTCTGATCATTGAAGACCGTGATGTCGACCCTGGAGGAGTCGAGCAGACTTTGAACTCTTCTCTGAGGACGTACCCCACCTTCATATCTCACCTACGTCAGGATTACCTCATGTTCATAAGTTTAGGAATTTCCAGTCAGCCCTGCCAAGCTGTTCAGCTGCTGCATTAAAAGTTTTCACCTTTCTTTGGACTGTACTTTGCCCCTTCCCCATTCATTCTTTCTTCCTGTCATTCCTTTTCCACCAGGTGGTAAGAATGAAATCTGGTGCAAGTTGCACTGTCTGTGGCTGGCTGCTGTGAGGGCAGAATCATAGAATCACAGAACTGTGGAATTTGAAGGGACCCCAAGGGTCATCTAGTCCAATCCCTTGCGGTGCAGGAAACACAGCTAATGGAAATGACTAATCACAGGGTGGAGACATTGGAAGCTGTCGTGCACCAAGTCAGATCCTTGGTGCAGCCAGTTGAGCACTGTCTATGTTGACTGGAAGCACCTCTGCAGGATTTCAGGCAGAGGATATTCCCAACTGTACTTGGGGATGTGAGATTCTAATCCTCATTTGTTTAAAACAAAGGGCTGAAGTAAATAAGAATATAAGAAGCTGTCTTTATTGCAAGTCAGCCCTTTGGTCCATCTAACTCTGTATTGTCTACACTGACTGGCAGGCGCTTTCCAGAATTTCAAACCGGGGTCTCTCTTAGTCCTGTCTGGAGTTACTAGGGATTGAAGCTGGGACCTTCTGCGTGCAAAGCAAATGCTCTACTGCTGAGCGATGTCCTTTCCTGTTATGTACAGTGGTACCTCGGGTTACATATGCTTCAGCTTACATACGCTTCAGGTTACACACTCTGCTAACCCTGAAATAGTGCTTCACGTTAAGAACTTTGCTTCAGGATGAGAACAGAAATCGTGCTCCGGCGGCGCGGCAGCAGCAGGAGGCCCCATTAGCTAAAGTGGTGCTTCAGGTTAAGAACAGTTTCAGGTTAAGAACGGACCTCCGGAACGAATTAAGTACTTAACCCGAGGTACCACTGTACTAAGCTTGGATCCTAAAACAATTGGCAGGTAGGATCCTAGAATGCAAGAACTTGATTGGCTTGCTGGAAAAGACCAATCAGGCTCCAGAAGGAAGTTAATCAGCCTATTAGGCTGGTAGCATAGTAGAATGCAACAACTGATTGGCCTGCAGGAAAAGAAGCTCCAGGAGGGAAGCAGAATCAGCCAGTCAGACGGGATTCATTGTGTAAATAATGTATATAAAAGTCTGAGGTTTGGGGGGGCAATACAATCACTGCAATAAAGAGCATGAAATCACTACAGGACTCCAAGTACATTTCATTTCCCCTAAACATATGTTTCTAGTCCTCCTTGTTCTGGATGAAAGACTAAATTAAGTGTGAACCTGGGAAGCTGTCTTCTAGATGGGCCCCCTTTAGCCTGATCCAGCAGAGCTCATCTAATGTTTGGGACTATAACTTTCACCATCTCTATACTGGGACAGGGGGCTGTTGGGAGTTGTGGTCCAAACCAGCCAGGGAAAGCTGCCTTGGGACTATTCTTCCCTACCTCCCCTATTCTCATCTACCTTTTTAAATACGGGGGGGGGGGGCGTTTCTGTTGTCATTGCTATTAAAACGAAGGAACATTCTGGCCCTCAATTCCCCCACTGGCATTCTGAACTGATTCAACCCAGAAACAGTTTTACCAGCTCATTCTGTGAAATACGGAATAAATTTGCTTTCTCTGTAACCTCAGACACACAGAGAGTATTTTCTTCTACTTCTTGGACAGGTGCTCCATAGGAACAAGATGCCAACTGCGTTGGGCTATGTATGAGTTGCAGGAATGAATGAGGTCAGTGGAGCAAAACTAGCCAGCCTGCATTTTCCCAGTTGCTCATGTGCTCAGCCTACTTCTCTCCTCCCAACTTTGCCCAAGACCTTAGCAGGGACATGTTCTCATGGTGGTCCATAAAACCAATGGAAAACTTGAGCCTTGATACTCATCAGGCTGCCCAAACTCCCCTGCTTCCCTCAATATAGGAAGTCGCTCATTTGGCGCCTTCCAGGATTGCGTTACATCTGTGTTTTTAGCTTTCCAAAGACTTCAGTGGAATGGAAGTCTACTTTGGCCCACTGAAGAGCAGAAGATAAGAAGAGCGCTGCTGAATCAGGCCAATGGCCCATCTGGTCCAGCATCCTGTTCTCACAGTGACTGAGCAAATTGCCATTATGGGAAGCCCACTCAATGATTTTGGTATAACATAAGGTTAATAACCAGAAAGCAAAAATGTTAATAAAGAGTATGACAGCAGAAAAAGCAGGGTTTCAAATCTGAAAAAATAAAATACTTGGGTATTACTATGACAAATATGAATTGCATGTTGTTTCAAATTAACTATGTTAAAACATGGGCTGAAATAAAAACAAGGTATGTCAAGATGGGAGGTGCTAGAACTGTAATTATTGAGTAGAATCTCAGTGATAAAGATGAATGTTTTGCCTAGAATGATTTTTTTTATTTCAAACAATACCTATTTTGACCAATGATTTACCATTTAAACAATGGCAAAAAGATGTATCTAACTCTCTATGGCGGGGGTGGGGGGTGGGATTAAAGTATTGAACAATGCAAAGGAAAGGGGAGAAAGGGGTTTACCTGACTTGAAATTGTGCTTTGCGGCTTGTTGCTTAGTGTGGATGAAGGAGAGGGTGACACTGAGGAATAGGAAACTTGATTCAAGGTTTGGATGCCATGGATATTTGTGTTATGATAAAGTCAAAGTTAATGTGGATTTTAAAAATCAAATTAATACACATGCCATAGAACTTGGAATAGATATAAACCTAGGTTGTGTGCTCTTACAGATTTCACCACAAAAAGCTTTTCACACCAAAGAGAAATGGTTAACTCACTGGCTGAGGAAGAGGAGTGCGGGGGGGGGAGCGCACCGTCCCCGGCAGTGTGATCTTGGTGGGGTGCTATCACGGCTGCCCCCTCGCCTGCACTGGCCACCATGCCCCTGCAGGCAGCACACCACACCCCCAAGACACGCACCATGCCCCTACAGGCAGCATGTCACGCCCCCAGGATGCGCACCAGCCCCACCCCCACCTGCTCTCCGCCCCCTGGTGCCAGAGCATGAAGTTCCACCACTGGGTTAACTTATCAAGAGTTATTAGAGTGGAGTCAAGGAGATTATAACATCAAAACAAGGGAACAGTTAACAGTGGAATGTGATAGTTTCCAATGGTTTTCTCATTTACAACTAACACAGAGATTTTAGTTGGATGAAAAGAATTTTGGCACAGAACAAAAAAAAAGATTTTGAAATACAATCGTGTACAGATGATGAGCACGTTATAAACTTATTGAAATTTGAAATACAAGAAGAACAAGTTAAAGAATGCATGATTAAATGGGCAAAAAAACCAACCTGGTTATAATATGGAACAGTGGGAACATATATGGATTAAAGGGTTTAAATATGTATTATGTTATGATCTAAAATTTTTACAAAATGATGTATCATTGGCACCTAACTCCCAAGAAGTTATTTAGAATGTATAAAAATGTTCCAAATGTATGTTGGAAGTGTAAAGAACATGAAGGGATGTTTTATCGTGCATGGTGGACATGTAAAAAAGCTAAAAAATATTGGATACAAATACATACACTGATACAGAAGATTTTGAAGGTTAATGTTCAATTGAAACCAGAGCTCTTCCTGCTGGGATTTATGAATATACAATTAGAACAAGACAACGAAACATTTCAGTACATGATCACTGCAGTGAGACTTTTATATGCACAAAGATGGAAAGATTCTTCATTACGTATCATGGAGGAATGGTTATTAAAATTATTCAACTTAGCTGTGATTGCAAAGTTGATGTGTTTATTCAGAGAAAATTCACTATCAATATTTACTAAAGATTGGAAACTCTTTATATATCTCTAGCTTGAAAAAGAAAATGAACTTATTCTATCTGGGTTTAAGGACTGAAGAAAATATTGGTTTATAGATAGTGGAAATGTTGGGTGTTATCTTGAAGTAGATGCTTTGAACTATTTTCTAAGAAACAAAAGCTCCCCTCCCCTTTCCTTTTCTTCTATTTGGTTTTTTTATTATTTAAAAAATGGTTTAGTTATTTATCTTTTAAAAAAAGATATTGGGTATTTGATATTCTTTTTCAAACTTTAATTATATATATATAAAGGAAGCCCACAAGCAGAACCTGAGCACAACAGCAACACTCCCCCCTACTGCTGTTTCCAGCAACTGATATTCAGAAGCATTTCTGCCTCTGACTGTGGAGGCAGAGCACAGCCACCTTGGCTAGTAGACCTAAATAGCCTTATCTTCCATGAGAGAGGTTGAGAAGTAGAGGCTTTCTTGGTTATGCACAGAATGGTCATCTTGCAAAAAGCAGTCCTCTGCTTGGAGCAATTTCTGGACCAAGGCTGGGTACACACCAGACATCTAAAGCACATTACTTCCCCCCAAATCCTGAGAACTGCAGTTTGTTAAGGGAGCTGAGAATTATATCCTGGGAGGGGTAAACTATGGTTCCCATAATGTTTTGGGGTAAGCTATGTGATCCTGTCTTCACCGTGGCCAACCCCGTGTGCATTATGTGAAACCCACAAGCAGGACCCAAACACAACAACTACTCTGGGCGGCTTCCAACAGAATATTAAAAACTTGATAAAACATCAAACATTAAAAACTTTCCTAAACAGGGCTGCTTTCAGATGTCTTCTGAAAGTCATAGTTGTTTATTTCCTTGACATCTGATGGGAGGGAGTTCCACAGGGCGGGCCCCACTACCTGCCTGGTTCCCTGCAACCTCACTTCTCGCAGTGAGGGAACCGCCAGAAGGCCCTCGGAGCTGGACCTCAGTGTCCGGGCAGAATGATGGGGGTGGAGATGCTCCTTCAGGTTTACTGAGCCAAGGCCATTTAGAGCTTTAAAGGTCATTATCAACACTTTGAATTGTGCTCGGAAACTGGGAGCCAATGTAGGTCTCTCAGGACTGGTGTTATATGGTCTCTGCGGCCACTCCCAATCACCAGTCTAGCTGCCACATTCTAAATTAGTTGTAGTTTCCGAGTCACCTTCAAAGGTAGCCCCACATAGAGCACATTGCAGTAGTCCAAGCGGGCGATAACTAGAGCATGCACCACTCTGCCGAGACAGTCTTCGGGCAGGTGGGGTCTCAGCCTGCATGCCAGATGGAGCTGATAAACAGCTGCCCTGGACACAGAATTGACTTGTGCCTTCATGGACAGCGGTGAGTCCAAAATGACTCCCAGGCTGCACACCTGGTCCTTCAGGGTGACAGTTGCCCTATTCAGAACCAGGGAGTCCTCCACACCTGCGTGCCCCCTGTCCCCCTAAAACAGTACTTCTGTCTTGTCAGGATTCAGCCTCAATCTGTTAGCCGCCATCCATCCTCCAACCGCCTCCAGGCACTCACACAGGACCTTCACTGCCTTCACTGGTTCTGATTTAAAAGAGAGGTAGAGCTGGGTATCATCTGCATATTGATGAACACCCAGCCCAAACCCCCTGATGATCTCTTTCAGCAGCTTCATATGGATGTTAAAAAGCATGGGGGAGAGGATGGAACCACAAGTGAGAGCCCAGGGGTCTGAACACCCCCCCCCCCCACTTTCTGGACATGGCCCGGGAGAAAGGAGCGGGACCACTGTATAACAGTGCCCCCAGCTCCCAGCCTCTCTAGACGGTCCAAAAGGATGCCATGACTGATGGTA